TGCTGGCCTCACATCCCCTGGGGCCTCCCTGTCCCTGTGGCCTTTCTCAGCAGGGTAACCTGGACCTCTTTACACAGCAACCGGCTTCTAGGAGGGTGAAAATGGAAGCTTCTAGGTGTAGGAGCCACCCGGTGTCACTTCTGCCATGCTCTGTTGGTAGAAGCCGAGCAAAGGGCCATTGTAGACTCAACAGAGAGGAACAGACTCCACCTTGTGACGGGAAGAGGAGAAGTCACAGGGCAACAAGGACTATAGGGGGTAATGAGGCTCCCTGGGAGAGAAAGCGCTGGCTCTGGAGGCAGGCAGACTCCTCGATGACAGCACCAGATGCAGCTTTGTCAGAGTCCACCCTGCACCAGGGCCCAGGGAGACAACAGTGTCATCTCCATGCCACACAGGAGGGCACGGCAGTATTCAAGGTCACAGAGACGCTAAGTGTGGAGTCAGGACTTGAACCCTGGCAGTCTGGCTTCCAACCTCTACTACTAAACTCTCTTACCACTTGCATTGGGCAAGGCCTCTCTGAGCCTCAGTTTCCCCTTCTGTAAATTATATGATGTGTGCAAAGTGCACAGGCAGTGCCTGGCACACACCACGTCAATGTTCAGTGAATAAATGCTGTTTTGTTGCTGACAACTAGGAGGACGAGCCCAGCCTCGGGCCCCCTCAGAGACTGAGCCTCAGCGAATCTCCCTGGCTTCAGGAGAGGGTCCCCTGCAGTGGATAAGCCCCAGGCCCCAGCATCCAGAGGCCTGAATTCCAATCCTGCCTCTGTGTTTGCTTGGGCAGCCCTCACCCTCCACGTCCCTGCGTGTGGGAATTGCACGTCTTTGCCGCGTTGCTGTGAGCCTCGCGATCAAGTGCCAAGAGCTCTGAAAAGCACTGAACGCCACCCGGTTCTAACTTCCCAAGCCCTGTCCTGTACCCAAACAGCTCACCAGTGGAACAGCACCATACCGCAGCATGAGCCGGGGGCCCCACGGGGCTCCTCTGCCCCCAGATGCGCATCTGTGTGCGCACAGCACTCCAAGGGGAGGGGGGTCAGGGGGCAACAGCACGATGAAATCCGGATGAGAAGAGGCAGGAGGAGAGGCACGGGAACCGGAGGGGCCCAGGCAGAGGAAGTGACTGGGAAGTGATGGACGGACAGAGAGAAGGAGAGGAAGACCTGGGCGGACGTGTCGCTCACAGACATGCACGGAGTTCTCATGGGAAAAACCCATCAAAGAGAACCATGCCTGCAGTGTCGGGCCCCGTGGGAGCTCCTCTGGTTCTCCGGCTGCGCTGGGAGGCAGGTGTTTGTCTTAGCTCCTTTTCAGCTGCCATAATGAACCACTTGAGAGCAGGGACTGCAGGAAGAGGAGAGACCAACCCGGCTCACGATTCTGGAGGCTGGGGTCCCAGAGCCCGGGCCGGCATCTGGGTAAGGCCTTCTTGCTCTGTCCTAAGGTGGTGGCAGGTGTCACATGGCGGGACCAAGCCAGCTGCTGGCCGGGGTTTCTCTTCCTCATCAAGCCACTGACGCCATTATGTGAGCCCCAACCTCCTGACCCCAGCTAATTCCAGCTATCTCCCAAAGTCGCCACCTACAAGTGCCATTAACATACGACATTGAGCATTAGGTTCCCAACACATTGGACTCACAGCAATACTGTCCCCTCTCCCCATTCGCAGATGAGGAAGCTGAGGCACAAGAATCAAAGCTAGAGCAGAGCCAGGGCTGGAACTTGAATGCCTGATGCTAACTCGGCTTCTGCAACAGCACAGAGGCCTCCATCTGCATGTGCTACAAGCCGGGGTGTCGTCAGATCAAAGTGGAGTCACCACGGAGCTTTGGGCAGGGGCACCTTGCCTGTCGTGTGCCCTACGGTACCCGGAGCCCACCGATGCTTGCCCGATGCAGAAGGCGGCAGCAGTGGGAGACTGGGCTGGGGATGCTATAAAGACCACAGCAAGTGCACCAGACCCAGGGTGCTAGGAGAGGGAACCTGTACCTGCTTTGGGAAGTAGTGGAGTTGTCATTGAAAAAAAAAAATTTTAACAAAGGAGAGGTACAAACAAACACCCAAAGAGACTTCAGACCCAAAGCCACTTTACCAAAGCTCGTGCCTGTGCTGCCAAGGGGGCCAGAGGGCGGTCCCAGCCACAAGCCGTTCCTCCAGCCAAGGCTCCCCACTCCTGCCTGGACCCCAGATCCTGGGGTAGCCAGACTTGGGGTCTGGGCCTGGAGATTTTGAAGAGCTCCTGGAAGTGACTCTAGTGAGCAGGCAGGATCAGGAACTACCCAGAGACAGAGACAGAGGCAGAGGGCCCAGGGCTGTGAGGAGGAGCAGGACAGGCGAGAAGGCAAATAGAGGAATGAGGGGCGCGCTGTGGGTGGGGAGCGAGAGTGCATGAAACAGGGAGGAAGGCAGAGGCAAAGGGGCCTCTGGACTCAGGGTGGCAGCTTCCTTCCGCTCCGAAAGCCTCTGAGAAGGTCTCGGCCCTGCCGTCCAGGGTGACTGCCCCCGCCTGGGCCCTGCTCGGCGCCTGCGTTCTCCTGTCCCCTCCTAGTGGGGCTCCGAGCGTCGGGAGCCTTCGTCCACACTTGCTTTCCCCGGATCCTCGTGGGCACCCCCAACCCCTGCTCTCACTCAGTAAGTGAGCCCAGGACATCATAGCCCATGGAGCTGTGCCCAGCAACGAGCAAGCAGAGGCCCCTACGCTGGGCCTGTCCCCCTTCCCGCTAACGGCTCCCACGGCTGCCATTCATCGGCCCAGTGAAGCCGCTGCTCAACACCCCTCCCTTGGTCAGCCCATCTCCTGTTCCTCCCAACCCTCCTGCCAATGTCAAAGCCCACCCCCAGAGCTCAGGAGGATCACACGCCCCGCCCCTCGTGCCCCAGCTTTGCTGGCCCCTGCACCTCCCCTCTCAGTGCCTGGCTGGTGGCCCGGGCCTTCCTCAGCTGCTTCATTTCCCTGCAGCCCCATAAAAGCGACTTCATTAAGGAAACCACACTGGGCTCGGCCGCGCAGGAGCAGGAGCTGTGGAGTGAGGCTGGGGCCGCAGCTGGCTGCTGCCTCCCCTCCCGGCACCCCTTCCTCCAAACCCACCTCCGGCCCCTCCCTCCCTCCCCTGCTCTTCTGCCCCCATGAGCCCTAGTCAGGACCCTTTCCTTGGACCCGACCAGTCCGGAAGGGAGGTGACGCAAAAGCCCCTGTGTGCCCCCAGCCCCCAAGGCCCCCATCCAGAAGGAGGGGGCATAGCCTTGGAACAGCAGACTGGCGGGTGGGCTCTGCAAAGCCCCTCCCCCAGTGTCTGCTGGGCCCCTGAGGGAGCTCCATGGATCACGCTGCTCCTCCGCACCCTGCTTATGGGTATAAGGCGGACAAGACGCGCCCAGGTCCTTGGGCTGCTGTGGAGGCAGGTGCGCCCCGCCGCGAGCTCCATCAGCAGCAGCTGTGGTGGCGAGCCCGGCTGTCATTCACGCTGGTCTACTGAGCGGTAGAAACCTGGTGGGCTATAAAATGTGACTTCAGAGCGCAGAGTCCTACCTCCCACCTGCTCCATCAGACACACCCCTCCCCCATCCCTCAACGCAAGCCTAAGCAGCCGCTGAGCACTCTGCTCCTTCCATCAGGACAAGGCGGCTGCAGAAGGGTTCGCGGCTCCACCTGGCGCCCTCTTCCCACCTGCTCTTCTCCCTCGTCTCAGGCTGTGGCTCCAGGCATGGAGTCGGGCGGGAAGCCCACTCCCTCTCCAGCTGGGAGTAGGGGCACGTGCTCTGATTCTATATCCCTGCTGGGGACATGGCCTCTCTCCTTGTGGGGCAGCTTCTCTGGCAAGCTTCCACCTGCCCCAGGTGCCGCGAGCAGGGCTGCAAACCCTGACTTTCTATGGACACCGCGGGGGTGGGTTCCATGGAGACCTGCCTCGTGCATCCCAGCCCAGGAGGCCTGGCTCCATGTGGCCCCCAACTCCTGCCCCTGGAGTCCAGCCCTTCTCTGAGCCAGGAAAGCAGCCCTCAGACACGATGGCATCAGGTCGCTGGACCCCATTTGACCAACAGACCGCACAACACCAGACAGCGGCATAGCCCGCTCCTTGCGCTCTCCTCCCGAGAGGAGCAGAGCCCAGCCCCCCGCCCAGGCCAGTGCCGCTGGGAGCCTGCACCAAGCTGATCTTGCAGGCGCCCCATCTCCAGGAGCTGCTTCTCCAGGGAAGGACCCCAAAGCGCTGCACCGGGGACCTCATTCCCCCTACCTTTCGCTTCCCCAGTCTTCTTCTCTCTCAGGAAGGAGAAGGGCTGGGGGAGGGCTGGGGCAGCAGCTCTCTGTAGAGGATGGCACACTTGGCCCTTCCAGCCTCCTGTTGGGCCCTTGTTGCCACTTGGAGGGCATCGGCGGAAACCCCACTCAGGTTCCTGTCCGTCACAATTACTGACTTCAGGAAGACATCAAGAGAGCAGTGGGAAGGTGAACCTAGAAACAGGTGTGGGCCTGACCCTAACGACAGCGGGCACCTCACCCCTGTCCCTGGGGTTGCCTTGCCACCTAGGACCCCCTCCTCAGGGCACAGACTGATTCTGATGAGCAAGCTGGGAGCTCATGCCTCCATTCAGCACACGCCAAAATCCAGGCTCACAACCCACAATCCTTGCTGTTGCTCCCCAAAGCCCGAGCACCGCCCACTCAGAAGCCCACCCCAGGAGTCGGTAGGCAGGTGGAGAGCAGAGGCGGGAGCACTCGCCTGGGAGACAGGAGTCCTGGGTAGGCCCAGTTCTTCCACCATATGGCCCTGGGAAGTCCCCATGGCTCTCTGAGCACCATCTCTGCAAGAGAAGTGGGCCACATCAGCCACTCTACCAGGCTGGTGGTCAGAGGCCGGTGGGTGAGATGCCACATGCGCATGCTCTGACCCAGGGAGCCCCGGGCCCATCTGAGGGGCCAGCTGGCTGTTGGGGCCCACTCCCCGCCACTGCAGCCCCCACACAAGGCCACAGCTGCCCCTCTCTCCGCAGACGTTCCGGTGGCCAGTGGCGAGCGGCATTGACAGAAATGAGGTGCTGGAGATTCAGATTTTCAACTACAGCAAGGTCTTCAGTAACAAGTGAGTGTGGGAGGGGGTGAGAGGTGTGGAGCCTGCGTGGGGCTGTGGGCCTGCCCTGCTCCTGGGGCTGCTGGGTTTTGGATTTCAAAGGGGCCCCTGTATCCCTGGCCTGCCTTGGGTTGATATTCAGGAAGATCTTGGGCTGATCTTTGATCTCCATGCTGCTCCCTGAGATGTCCTCAGAGTCCCCCAGCCCACCCAGCCGGGGTCAGTCAAGAGCACTTCGCCTCCTCCTGGGTGGGAGCAGAAGGCAGAGAGGGAAGAAGAAGGGGAGATGGACGCATGCCTTCCCCCTGCTGGTGCTTAGGAGCCCCTAAGTGAAGCGTTAACTTCAGCACAGTCACATGGCAGTCAGTTCTCCAATTTCCCAAGGACTTGCGTTCGTGTAGATAGGAGGCACCCTGGTCAGGGACCAGCACACCCCCAGGTCCACTCAGCCCCGCCTGGAACAGGGGCCTCCTTCCTGGAACCTCGGGCTTTCCCATGGGGGCAGGGTGTTGGGCTCGCAGGCCCTTGCACGTCCAGTCCCGCCTGTCGGGGCCCCTGAGAGGCAATAGCCTGGTCCGGCCACCAACCTCCTGGCTTCTGAGGATCCCAGGGCCCCTGAATAATTCAGGAGCCAGGAGCGCAGCGGAGGCCTGGCTGGGCGCCCGGCACTTGACACCAGCTCCCAGGGGAGCTCGATGAATTATTGACAGCCTCTCTGTCCCGATCTGTCCATGGTCCACCTGCACCTGAGGCCTCCCTGCTGCAGGCCAATTACCTGGGAGTCCCAGCCCAGCCCTGCCAGCCCTGCTCCTCTGCGGGGTCCAGCTGGCCCCTTGTACAACAGGTGGCTTGGATGGGCCATGGGGTTAGCTCCCAGCTTCTTTGTCTCACAGCCTGGGGACGACAGAGCCCCAGCGAGAGCCCTTGCCCGGGGTCATGCAGCAGAGTCACGTCAGAGCTCCGGAGCCCAGGCCTGCAGCCCTCCTACAGGACAGGTGGCCGTATGCCTCCATTGCCAGAGAGACAGGCCAGCTGTCCAGCAGGCCTAGGAGCCCACCCTCCCTCAGTTGCCCCATACCTCCCAAGACCCCTGCTGAGGTGACTCCTTTAGCTGTGCAACACCTCCGGGCCACAGACAGGCCCTGGTTCCACCAGGCTGTGCAGAGCTCCGAGGGTGGCGGCAACCCCATCCGCCCCCAGAGTCCGCCCCCAGAAGGACAACACCAGGAAGGAAGGAGGGCCTGGCGTGGGGGTCGGCGGGGTTGTAGGAGCTGCCCCTGCAAGGTTCTCACCGGCAGCACCTGAGAAGCAGGTGGCTGGCATCTTAGTGAATGAGAGGATCGGGGACTGGTGGGACTCACACAGCTGCCAGTGGCTGGAGTCCCCCTCAAACCCACTGGGCCAGCCCACACGTGTCTGACTGTGATGAAAGCAGTGGAGAAGGGACCAACAGTGAGAACTCCGCCACCGCCACCAGGCAGCCTCAGGAGGGTCATCGTCCCGGAAGCAGTGCTGGCAGGCTCCCAAGTTCAAGGGTGGAGACTGGGGCAGGTTAAACCCAGAGGGCTCCCGAGGCTCCTCCAAGCACCTGCCGGGAATAGTTCTGCCCTGCCCCCTGGGGGTGCCTGGTCACACTGCAGCACCCCTGCTGCTCTGGGGCCCTCCCTTTGCTATTCTTGGGCATTCGGGGATGGGCAGGGATGGGCTGGAGCACCCAGCACTGAGCTGTGGAATCCAAACGCCCTGAGGAGCCACGGGCAGAGTGACGTTGAGCAGAGATACTCTGTGGTGCGTCCCAGCCTGCACTGCAACACTGCCTGGAAATGTGCTGGAGAGACACACGCCCAGGCCCCGTCCCCTCTCTGAAGCAGAGCCCTGGGGCCCGGCCGGCCTTGTGAACTGAGCTCCGCTGGCTCTGAGTTCAGTGACTTCGAATTAGAAGCTTGAAATTGGCTGTGGTGGAGGAAGCGACACCATGGAAATCACCAAAGCTACCAATTAGCCTCACCCTCCCCTCCCCTCTCCCAGCCTCTCCATTGCCAGCCCATCCCACGTGCGATTCCCTCCGAGTGGTTCTGTTCAAGGTGAAGTCTGAGGACCAAGGCTTTTCCTTTGTGCCTCTGTTGCTAGAAGGTCTGCACGACCCAGAGACCTGGAGCCCCATTTGCTCAAGACAAGATTGAGGTTCAGGCGGGCCGGCCCCCCGAGCCCGGCGCTTCTCCTCTCTGGCTCCTCCTGAGCTGGGAGAGGCCAGGGTTCCGTGGCAGGAGGAGGCTTCACTGGACTGGCTGGGAAAGCTCAGAAGCCCAGTGTTAGGTTCTAGAGTGGAGGCGTGGCATGCAGTTTCTCCCTCCCAGAGGCTGACACCCTGGAAGACAGAGCCCTGGGCCCCAGAGGGAAGCAGCCTGTACTGGTCCAATACAGCTGCTGCAGCCCCTTCCCCTTACCCCGATGGGGTCCCCCTCCCCAGGGCAAATGTGGCTAAGCCTGAACTCATCTGACACCTCACACCTCCTACCCCCAGACTGGGGGTCCCTGCCCCCTCTTCCTCCTCTGTGACTCCACGGCTCCACCCAGCCCTCCCCCTTAGAGGCTCCCCTCAGCCTTCCTCTCCCCAGGGGGAAGTGGGTGGCAAGTTTTAATCTACCCTGTATGGAAGCACTGTGGTAGTTTCCAGTTGCCTCCCAAGCACCAGCCTGCTAGCCACAGGGGGAAACGGGTTCAAGTCAACTCCATCAGCATTTATTGGGTACCCACTGTTGTTCATTAAATCAGCCAGCAGACATCTAGTTGGGGGGTGGGTGAAATCCAAGGCTGGAAATTGCCTGCTGCACCCCGCCCTTAAGAGGTTCATGGTGGTGCCAGCAATGCTGGACAGCCCTTGGGGTGCTGAGCACATGCAGAGACCCCAGGAAGACCCCAACAGAGTCGATCAGGCGGTCCCCACACAGCAACTCCATGAAGGAGTGGATCTGGGCTTATCCTATGAGAAAACTAGGGGAGCTGAGCCAAGTCACCCAGGAAGCAGGTTACTCGGCTGTGTCGTCTGGGCTCAATCCTGTCTCTCGCCCTCTGAGACTGTGGCCTTCAGCACAACACGGTGCTGTCTTTCCCAGCTCCACAACGGGGAACAGGGGGCTCATGGGCCCTTGCCTCCAGGAGCTGAGGGGTTGTAGGCAGGATGAATGAACAAGGCGTGTCGGGGATACACTCCCTGGTCGTGCCTAGGGAGTTGGGTGCTTAGGGGAGCTTCCCTGTGTCTGCAGGAGGCTCAGCCCTCCCCAGCAGCACCCACACTGGGCACCTGGAAGCGGCTTTGCAGGGCTCAGCTGAAGCCTGATGCCACATCCCCTCAACCCCTTGTTTGTAGCCTGTGGTCGTGGCCCCAGGGAGCCACTGTCCCCCAGAGCTCTTCCGTCACCTCTGTATTTCCAGGCTAATCGGGACCTTCCGCATGGTTCTGCAGAAGGTGGTGGAGGAGAGCCACGTGGAGGTGACTGACACCCTGATGGATGACAACAATGCAATCATCCAGGTGGGGCACCTGGGCCGTCCCGGGGGGGGGGGTGGCCTGGGAGCCTGCATCACCTCCCTCACCCCCTCACCTCGGGTGGTCTCAGGAGCACTCCTCATGCTCGGCCAGAGAGGCAGGAGGAGGAGATGCAGGGTGAGACTGCAGGAGCTGCTCCGTGTGACAGCCGGGCTGGAGTCCCTGCAGTGTCCCGGGGTGAACCCCCCACCCTTCCTCCACCTGAGGACCCCTCCTGTCTCCATCGGTGGGTCCCTCTGTTTGGAGCCAGCTCAGTAATTACTAAAGAAGCACCTCTCGTTAGCCCGAGACCACCTGAGCCCTGCTGGCTGCCCCAGAGTGCAGTCTTCGTGCCGTGCTTCTGGCCTCTCTGAGCCAGGACATTATGGGCAGGCAGGGGCCTCAGTTTCCCTCTATTGGTCACAGCCCAGCCTTCAGCACGCACAGGGGGACACTAATGCTGCACAGCTTGTGGACCTGCACACGCATTCCCGCAAAGGCAACCCGAGGCCTGGGCCCAGGCTCTGCAGTTTGGCATCGTAGTCAGGAAATGGTCCAGAAGAAGTGTGCATTGTCCCCTTCCTTGGAGACATCCAAGCCTGGGCACAGGAGCAGGGTCACCCCCAGACCTGTCAAGAAGGGCAGCTGCATCTGGGAAGCCCCTGTCACCCTTGCGGGCAGAGGAAGGTTCTAGAAGGAGTCTTCCCTGAGCCCTGGTGGGAAATGAGCTGAAAGGAGGGACATGACCCAAGGAGACAGAGCAAGAGGCCAATCAGAATTCTCAGTTGCAACACCTGGGCCCAGATTTGCAGCTCCACTCTCCCAGAGGAAAAGCCTTGGGCAGCTCTGGGACCAAGTGCAGGTCCCAGAAGCTGAGTCTGCACTTGTCAGTCTTTCTGCGCCTCTGTCTTCTCATCAGCAAAATAGGCTGGTGGGGGTGGGTGGGACCTCGGCGGGCTAGGGGTGTGCGAACGCTGCGAGCCCATCACACAGCGGCCAATGGGGACAGGCACTGCCGCCCCAGCTGCTCGGCCCCGCCTCTCCCTGCAGACCAGCCTGTGCGTGGAGGTCCGGTATCAGGCCACAGACGGCACTGCGGGCCCCTGGGACGATGGGGACTTCCTGGGGGATGAGTCTCTTCAAGAGGAAGAGAAAGACAGCCAGGAGACAGACGGACTGCTGCCCGGCTCCCGCCCCAGCTGCCGGCCTCCAGGCGAGAAGAGCTTCCGGAGGTAACAGCCCAGGCTCCTGGGGCTGCCCGCTGGCCCTGGAGATGCAAGGAGTTTGCCTGAGGTCCCCCTGGGAGGCCCCTCGAGGCCTGGCAGGGCTGTCAGCGCAGAGCTGAGTTGTTGGAAAGATGCGGCATAGGTGGGGGTATTTCTGCAGCGGCCCCTACTAGGTCTTTCACCCAAAAGCTCCCCGGGGTGGCAGCAGGGGCTCAGATCAGGCTGGGAGGCCAGGCTCACCCCAACCCCGACAGATCTGGGAGGTTGAGCTGTGACATGAGAGAAAGGGTTGAGACCACCTGCCCTGCTCAGAGAATGCGAGAACAGGGCAGGGGGGCTCTGGCCTCTCTGGTCCAAGATCCAGCGCTGCCACCCTCAGCCCCGGGACCCAGGATTCCCGTCCTGCAGGTGTCCTGCTACCCGCAGATGGCAGGAGGCTGGGCCCAGGCCTGCTCGTTCCAGATGCTCAGTGTTCATTAAACAAGGAAGAGCAGTCGAGCCCAGAGAGACAGAACGCAGGCCGGGCCAGACCAGCGTTGTGCGTGGTTGCTCAGGGCCCCGGGGAGGTCAGAGTGCATCTCAAGATCCCCCAGGCTGACAGCATGCCCCTCTAGTCCCTCCCAAGGCAAGCTGACTCCGTTCCTGGCTGAAAAACCACAGGTCCTAAATTAGCACAACTGAACTGATGTATTCAGACGGATGCATTTTTCCACGTTCCCCAACCCTCACAGAAAATCTTGGCACAGCCCTGGCACCAGGTGGGCAGAGTAAGAGTAGCAAGGTCAAAGGAACCAGGCCTGTGACCAGCCCAGGCCGGCATGGAGTCTGACCCCACGGCCTCCAGGCTCTCTAACAGCAGGCCCAGGTCTGAGTGCTAGCTCCACCTCGGACCAGCCCAGGAGTCCTCTCTCCCCCTCTGGGGAACAGGGACCATGGCCATGTTGTTAGGGGAGCCAAGGGGACCACAGAGGGACAGGTGGGACCTGTGGAGTGGGATGCTGCCTGCAGGTGTGCTGGCGGGGGACCAAGGGTCAGGAATGGGGCTGGGAGCGGTACTAGGAGCAGAGACGTGACAGGGCACCAGGGGACACTGCCACAGCGGCCCCCATGTGCTATCCGCACTTCAGAAGGAGCCCAGCGGGGGCTGAGAGTGAGCCTGGAGCACTGGGCTCTAAGCGAGGACTTTCTGAGACCTGGACTACAAGTCTCATGAGGGCCCCCAGCTGCAGGGAAAGGAGCAGGGGCACCAAGTTCCCTGTCGCGTCCCGACTGTGTCACTACCAGCTAAGGGACCGCGGGCTGCCACCAACCACTCTGGGCCAGGAAGAGGCAGGGGTTCGGCAGCTCTGACATTGGCAGAGATCCTGGGGACACAGCTCTCCTGGGAGCCCCCGCAGCCCCAGAGCAGCCGTCTCTGGGGTGGCTGCAGCTCAGGCAATGCCTGGCTGGTTCCTCTCTCCGTCGGCAGGAGCAGGCAGGGTGTGGAGGGGGAGTTCTCCCTCTGCCCGCTGGCGCTGGGCTGTGGCCCAGACAAAGCAAGACGGGGCACTTAGATCTCCGGGACTCCAGAGAGAGGCCTGGGCCACGGGGCTGTGGAGCTGAAGGGTCCCCCATGCCCTAAGACTCTGTCCCCAGGTCCCCCCGACTTCCTTTCAGCATGGCCTGGCAGCCCCCTCACGCCCATCTTCACAGCATGGTCAGGGCAGCCGCAGGAAGCAGAGCAGGAGGACAGGACCGGCAGTGGGGTGATGGCGACAACTGCACCCAGGGGTCACTGCCCCTCACTGGAGGGCATGGGAGGGTGGGCACTGTTCCCCTGCTGCTACTGGGGCTCCCAGCCCAGGCCCCGAAGCCCCCAGGGTGGGTGTGTGTGGATGTGATCCTCGCATTCCCCCGCCCAGCTTAGCCGTGCAGCCTGCACGCCCTGGAGGACCTCCCACCTCAGCCTCCCCGCTATCCCTTAGGGCCTGCCCTGGGAGACGCCTGGTGGGGCCTGCCCAGTGTTTCCCACTCCGCTTCACCCCATAGGCTGGGGAGGGGTGGATGCCGGATTCCCATGGCAGCCACTGATCAGTAAGACACTGCTCCTTGCCAGCAACGCGGGCTGAAGGAGAAACAATAGGGACACCGCGTCCACGGAGCCCCCGATCTACAAAGGGACTGGCCTCCCCACCAGGAGATGGAGGGCACGGGGCACCCAGCAGGCACCAGGACCTGGGTGCTGGCTTGAGGTCAGGGGCTAGGCACAGATCCTCCCTCCTGCCCCTTCTGCAGGGCTCTCTGGCTGCCTCGCAGACCCCAGGCACTCAGGCGACCAGGTCAGACAGAAGCTCTGGGCTGCCAGGCCAAGTTCCCTGGTGCCCCCCAGCACCCCTGTTCACCTTGACCCACAGCTCCCAGGACCCACATGGGCAGCCAGAATTGAAGTCCAAGAGTCCATAAATTCTCTAGACCAGCCCCTCACCAGCACATGGCCAGTCTCTAGGGTTCTCTCAACCTGCCCCACCCCAATCTGGGCTCTGATTGTCTGGCCCCGCCCCCCAAGTCCCTCCCCACCTAGCCTGCTTCTCCCAGATTTCACTGGCTTCCCTCCTGTCCTCACTCTGGTGTCAGCAGGCTTCCTGAAGGGCTGCTGTGGACTTCAGGTCTCAGCTCCTGTGAGGGCCACAAGCAGGAAGAGGCCTCTATAGACCCCGCCTATTAAAGCCACTGCTCACCCCCAAGGCCCTAAGACTGTCCCCAGGTCCCCCATGCTCCTTAGGGAATGTGTGCACCACAGCTCTGCAGAGCAGCCTTGAGTCCTACCACTGTGCGCTAAGCCCCGCCCACACAGCGCCATCCCACCTGGGCCCTGCTCAACCCTAGATGGCTGGGCCCCTTCTCCAGCTCCCAGCCCCAAGCCCGAAGCCTCAGAATCCTGCCAGTTCTCTGCCAAACCCCCTAGAATGATCCAGGAGGCCGCGCAGTACAGGGGCACACACAGGGCTCAAATCCCAGCTCTGCTGTTGGGAACCCTGCCTTCCCGTCTGTAAGATGGGCCCACTGATGTGCACAGGAGTGCTGGGATTAAAGGAGGGGCCTGGCACACGGCAGGTGCTCAGCCGGTGTGCATTTACTTTCTCCTCCTCTTCACGGACCCTCCCCACAGTGACCCCAACCCCAAATTTTCCTTTTCAGGTTGTTAGCAAGTCCCTTCTCAGCTCTGGCTCCCCACCCTGTGCTAAGGACTCTGCAAATGCTGCCCACACAGGAGCGGGGTCTCCCTGACCCCCACCTCCCCGGGCCATCCCTGTGTCAGGGAAGCAAGGAAAGAACTGTAACCGCATGGGCACAAAACCGAGGCTCTGGGCATTTGCATATCAGCAGAGTTGCCCCAGTCTCTGGAGAGAAAGGAGACTCTGGTGCTGAACACACACATGTGTGCGTGCACACACACACACACTCACATGCAGTCTCTGCATGACACCAGAGATTCCAGCGTGCTGCTCCCACCCCTGGCCGGGAGGACCCAGAAGCCACATCTTAGGAAGAATAACAGATAAAGGAAGGAGCCCAGCCTTGACCCCGCAGCTGAACTCTGGAGCCTTGGGCCCTTCCCCCAGCTCCCTGGGCTCTGCACTCTCTCCCCTCCCATTCCCCCCTAGCCCGGACCTGGCCCTCCACCTCCTCCATGTCCAACCCCTGCCTCTGGGGTCCCTGGGAATGCAGGGCTCCCAGCTGGGCTGCTGTGTGCTGGATCTTACCTGGGTGGAAGCAGCAGGGGCCACGTGTCTTGTTCTCCCCATGAATCACTCTTCCACACCAGGGGAGAGACCCATGGAAGCCAAGTGCCGCTCCCCCCATGCCAGGGCCAGGGCAGCTGGGCACGTGTGCGTGTTGAGAGAGAGGGCGTGCTGAGGGGCAGTGCACCTGCCTCATCCCAGAGTGCGGCTCGATCCGTTCCCATGGCCCCCGAGGTAGAAAGTCCCTGCCCCCTGCCTCTGGCTCCAGAGGTGCAGCAGCTCCCAGGGCAGCCCTGAGGTGCCAGGGTCAGCGAGCCACACTGGTGACGGACGGCACTTGGTGAAGTGGTGCTCAGGAGACTCCTCTCCATCCCAACCTCCTCATTGAGGGGGGGCCTGCACAGCCCGGGCCCGAGCGCCCAGTGTAGCCTGGCACCATGAAGCACCAGGATCCCAGCAAGCCCATGAGTCCCATCGGGTGGATCGCCCTGCCTTGTGGAAGCTATCTGTTCACTTATTCATTTGTTTAACAGGCAGACAAAAACTGATGTAGAGCGAGCTCCCATCCATTGGTTCACTCCCCCAGATGACTGCATCAGGCAGGGCTGAGCCAGGCCAAAGACCTCAATCCAGGTCTCAACTGGCAAGCACCCAATTAAGCCATCACTGCTGCCTCACAGGGTCTGCATTAGCAGGAAGCCGGGGTCAGGAGCCAGAGCCGGGTATTGAACCTGGGAAGTGGACACTCCGACCCCCACCCCCACCCCCGCCCCATGGTTGCTTTCAAGTCCAGTGCCTTCACCGCTTGGCCATCCCAGGACTTTAATGATTGCCCTCAAAAGTGCACAGGGAGCTCTGAGGACGACAGCTGCAGGAAGAGGCTGAACTACCTACCTGCGGCTGAGAGACAGGGCTGGGCAGGGCAGACGCTGGCTGAGCCGGGCAGCGAGGGCAGAAACACAGCGTGGGCTCCAGGAGGGAATCCCTGGGAGCCCTGCAGCCTGAGCCTCTGAGCCTCGCGGGGGACGTGGGGTCCGAATGAGGTCCTCCCAGTGAGGTGGGCAGGTTCTGAGACAGGGCCCTGCAGGCAGCACTAACGTCAGAGGCAGGAGTCATAGTGGTTGCTGGAAAACTGCAGGCGGATTCTCTCTTGGTCGAGAGAGACAGTCCTGTGCCTTCCCCATTTCCACACTATGTGTGGGCCTGCATGTGTCCTCATCAGCGCCGGGACACTTGGAACATGTGAGGAGGAGGAGGGCAGACGTGGGGAAGACGGCCAGGTCTGTGCTGCGCCCTGGCCAGTGGTGGCCCCGAGAAGCCCCCTCGGCCCGAGCCCGAGTTTCAGAGCAAAGCTCACAGGGAAGGAGAGAAGACGCCAGTTGTCTTGTCCACCCTGGACCCCGGTTCTGCTATTGTCCACCCTGGACCCCGGTTCTGCTATTGTCCACCCTGGACCCCAGTTCTGCTATTGTCCACCCTGGACCCCGGTTCTGCTGTTGTCCACCCTGGACCCCGGTTCTGCTGTTTCAGGGATTTCCAGATGCTCCAGTGTCTCAGAATTCTGCAGAAAATATAAAATATCCCTCAAAACCTAAAGTGATAATTCAGAAAAAAAAAGCGGCCCTGCTAGGACTAGTGGGGGAAGGGTGCAGTAAAGCTCCCAGTGAGATCTGGGTTCCCCAGTGGCTCCCGGAAGCAAACCCCACGGAACCCTCGGTGGAGCCTAAGGGGGGCCTGTGACTGAGAGCAGTCGGTCCCCGGCAGGGCAGGGCAGGGCTGGGCAGGGCTGGGGACCCCCGTGCCCTTGCTCTGTATCAAACAGCTCTCTGCTGAGTGCTCACAGTTGGCCTGGGCAGCCAGAGACCAGGCTAACATTACCTGTTGAAATGTGCTCCATCCAGGCCTGAGGTCCCCAGTTGCCCAGGTTTGGAGTCCAGTCTACCCGGGCAAGCTCTGTGTCAGGCCACTGTGTGAGGAGAGGGAACACTCTCCTTGTTACTCACTGTATTGTTTTCGACCTCATGGCATCAGGGAAGTGTTCAGAGAACATTCTGAAAGGATTTTCTGGAAACCTTCCTGACGACAGATAGGACCTCCTTACTGCCTCCCCCAGCCCCACTTCACCCTCTCAGAGCAGGCTCTGCCTCTGTTTCCCCTCGGAGGGAACAGGGGAGGAGACGGGGAGAAGCAGGGGCCAGGCCTGCCAGCCATGTTCTGGAATCCCCAGAGCCCAGCCTGAGTGGGACGCAGGAAATCCCAGGATGCTCTGAGGTCCCTCTGGCAGGGACACTCTGGGACCCTGCCCAGCCGACTCAGGCTGGCCGTTGCCAGAGGCGGTGGGGAGAGGCGTGCGCGGGAGCAGGGGGTCATCGGGGCCAGGGGCTGAGGCCGCCGCGTCTCTGGGCCACACCTCTCTCACGCGTCCCCTTGTCTCCTCCTTTCTCCCCCTACTCAGCAAAGGCAGACAGAAGACCAAGGGAGGCAGAGATGGCGAGCACAAGTAGGTGTCCCAGGCCAAGGCAGAGCCAGGAGCGGGCTGTCCCAGAGGGCATGCAGGGGCATGCAGGCGAGGGAGGTCTTGGCTTCTGGCATGGGGCTGGGGCGGGGCCTGCTCATTCTTCTTTCCCCTCTGTGTCCCGTTCCTCCTCTGCTACCCTGTTCAGATCCCCACTCCTGTGGGCCAGGCCCTGGGCTTCCCTGAGAGGCAGAGGGTAGCAAAGGGTGGGGGAAGCCACGAGAAATCAGAGGATCCCTCATCCAACCGTCCAAGTCCAACCAGGGACAGGAGCTGGACATGCAGTGAGGACAAGCCCCGGGCACTGCGTGGCTGCAGGCTGTGGCCAGAGCATGAACACCCAGGAGGCTAAGGAGAGGCAGTCACTGGGGTGGCCCTTCCAATCCCCATGCCCCCAGGAAGTTCCCATGGGGAGGGAGAGATTGGGGCTGCCTGGAGAGGAAGGAGGAAGGGACTTCAGGTGGGAGGGGCTGGGAGGCTGAGGCTCCCCAATCCCCAGGACTCAAGCATCATGGGAGATTTCACATAGGCAGCAGGAGCCAGGGCTGCCCACATGGGTGGGGGCTTCCAGCCACCTCCCTCTGCCAGGTGACAAACTTGAGTCCCAGAGAGGGGCAGCAGCTAGCCCAGGATAAGAGACAGAGCTCAGACCGAAGCACAGGGCACCTGGGCTTCCCTCCCGGGGGTCTCAGGAGACCAGCAAGTTGCGAGCTCTCCACTGCATTCTGAATTTAATTCTCCATACACACCAACGAGAGCTGAAAAACCGGATGGGGAACCGAGCCCCAGAGACGCTGAGAGCTTGCTCCAGTCAAGCTAGCTCCTAGGAGGGTACCATGGCAACCGCGGGCATGTACGCACCGCGGTCTGAGCTCAGAGGCGTGAGCTCATTGTGGGCTTGCGTCAAGATGCCCGGGAACTTGGGCATCCCAGCTCCCGCTTGTTACCCACAGACAAGAGCGGTGTGTCCAGGCTTGGTGAGGCACCCAGAGTGCTGAGCCCCAGGATGAGTGGGAGGTGACGGGGGTGCTGAGCCGGGGGTCCCCTTAAGGGCTCAGGCTTTGCCATGGACATGCCTGCCATAGGCTTATACAAGGCCCTTCAGAAAGTCCCGGACAATGCAGGTTATAGAAGAACCACATACAAATTTCAAAAATTTCTGTGCTAAAATAAGCTTACCTCTCATTCCATTTTCTACAGACTTTTCAAACTACCCATGAGGCATAAGCAACCTGTTCTCCTCCAAGCTCTCTGTATGAGATCAGCCATGCTCTAAGCCCCAAGTCCGTCCTGGGCCAGACCCACAGACTCTCACACTGGCCTGTCCCTGTGACTGGCCACAGCTGGAGTCCGAGGTGCTTCACAGTGCCAGCACATAGTAGGCCCACAGTAGGTGCCAATCCCCTAGCCCTACCCCATCCTATTTTCTTGCCAACTCAGTTCACATATTTGATAAACTGTCATGTATTACTATTATTATTTCAATGTGTGGCATTTAGGGCTATTAAGAGAGTAGGAAAATGAGGATTTCTAAGAAGAGATTAAACAAACTGAAACCCTCTAGCCCAGAGGGTGGGAGAGGGTGGGAACAGTTTGCCATCTCTAAAAGGCTTTTGTGTGGCAAACCTGGTTCATTTCTGTCTCCACTGAGGGGACATAGCTGGAAATAGGCTTAAGAGGCCGTAGGGAAAGCTTAAGATTTGAGGCATAAAACGATGCATGAGATTCTAGGACAGGTTGATCTGGGGTGGTGGGAAATAGATTTCCATGATGCCGTTTGCTTGAGCCTTACAGAGAGTTGAGCTGCCAGGGAGAGCCGAGCAGCCAGCTTCCCTGGGTTTGGGACAAGGACATGTGGTCTCCGGAGCTCCCTGGTGTGACACAGGCACAGGTGCAAATGGACCAGTGTGGGGACAGAGTGGTTCTTGCATGAAGGATTAACCTGTCCTGTCCACTGTGAGAAGCCATCAGAGACAAACTGAAATACGGCACACTCTTATGTAAGACACCTGGCAAGGCTGCCGTTGTGAAATTACTTGGACTTGGGGCATGGAAGATTAAAGGAATCCACCAAAGGGCTCTTGAAGAACACGGCCCCAAGCTTTGAAAGGCTGGCTGTTTACATGATGCCAGGAAGGACTTCAGCCCAGTTCCCCAAGATCAGAGTTCGTTTGCCCCGATTCACTGAGCCCCGAGAGCAAGGCTAGACAGTTCCCGCAGATGCCCCGGACAGTGAGAGAGCACAGCCATTTGTGGCCACGCCCTTTTTAGTCCCAACTTCCGGAATGATACATGGACCCCAGTGAACGCAGCACTCAGGTCGGGCAAATATCCCCAAGAACTTATGTGTGCCGGGCCTCCCCTAGGACGCCGTGTGCCTCACACAGCCACAAAGCCCGGCGTCTAAATCTGAGCCAGGGACACGCACGCTCTGCAGAGCCAGAGCAATGAAGAGTTCCCAGCGAGAGCACTAATTTTAAAATACATTCCCCAGAGATGCCTCTAGGTCGCAGGTGCATCTCATTCCTACTGTGATGCATCTGGCCCTGGGAACTCAGACGCGGTTCTGAATCCTTGGAGGGCCCTGGACGCTGCCTCCCGGCTGCTGCGTCACAAGCCGTGACACAGCCGTGAATAAGCACCACGTGGTCGTCATTTTTCACCGCAGCGCTTGCTGGCTTGTTTTGTTTCTCGGCACATCCTATTGTTAGTATTTGTAAATCCCAGCTAGACCAAATGCAGAATTGCATTACTTTTTTTAAAAAAAAAGAATCACTTCAACAGAAACCTGACCAGCAAACTACATTTTTTAAAATCGAAGTCTTTAAGATGAGTGAGTAATCTTCAAAATTCTCTGCTGCAGTTAATATTTATTTCAAAAATCTCCTTGACCTTCGGTCAAGAGCAGCAGGCAAACTCCTTGCTGGGGTCTGTACAGCAATGAGGCAGGCGGGGCTTTTTCTTTTCTTTTCTTTTCTTTTCTTTTCTTTTCTTTTCTTTTCTTTTCTTTTCTTTTCTTTCTTTCTTTCTTCTTTTTCTTATTCTTTTTTTTTTTTGATAAAGATTTATTTATTTGAAAGGCAAAGTTACACAGAGAGGGAGAAAAAGAGAGAGAGAGAGGGAGAGAGATCTCTTCCATCCACTGGTTCACTCCCCAGATGATTGCCACAGCTGGGACTGGGGAGCCAGGAACTCCATCCAGGTCTCCCACATGGGTGCAAGCACTTGGGCCATCTGCTGCTGCCTCCCAGGCGCATTAGCAGGGAGCTGTATTGGAAGTGGGACAGCCAGGATTCACATATGGGATGCGGGCATCACAGGCGGTGGTTCAACCCGCTGCACCACAATGCTGGCCCCAGAAAGTCGTTTTTTCTGTGGTGACCCTTGGATGCACCATTGATCAGAAAATCACAAAGGGCTGTGGCAGCGAGGACCTCGTGTTCTGCTGCCTACAGCTCAGGTGAACTAATGAGCAAGCAGAGGAGAAGCCCTCAGAGGCACTGAGCCCCAGCTCCAGGTCTTGAAGTCCCGCCCCCTGCTACATGTTTCTGCATTTCCCATGCACCGTTCTAAGACAGGCCCAGGCACGCAGGAGCAACACCAGGGGGCCTGTCCACTTGGAATGGTGGAAACGACGCATAGTGGGCAGGGAGGTGTCACCTTTGAGTTGCTTCTGGTTGTGGCAGAGATAGATGGAGAAGGATAGTTTTACAAAGGCTCCACGTTTACATCCAAATATGTTGTTTGAAGGAAGACAGTGACTTTCAAGTTCAAGGGCTAGAAGTGCCTGTGGCACTCCCCAGATGGCTCTGTGGGACCAGGGTCAGAATGCCACGGTGTCCTGGTGCCCTGCTCTCCCTCTGGGTGAGCTCTCCCTCTCCAGTGGCAGGGCCAGATCCTGTCCCAGGACACTGGGCAGCGACTGGCTCCTCCAGACAGAGCCTACTTCCCCTGGCCCCGCCAGCTGGGAGTACTTCCTTCAGGAGCCAGCAGGAGAAGGTGAGGGCTCTGTGGCTGGAGCCGGCTGCAAAGGCGATGGCATGCTCTAGGTCACACACGGAGTGCAGCTAGGGACTCTCAGAAAGGCCCAGCTGATCATCAAACACTGAGCCCTCCAGGAGCCTGCTGGATCACTCAGGAGGGAGCAGCGGAGTGACGAGGCTGGGCAAAAAAAGACCCAAACTCCGAGAAAGGCAGGACCCTACAAGGAGAAACAGAGGAGCAGAGCAAGGCCCACCCCAGCCACACCTCCTGAGGCAGGGGTCAGAGCACAGAGGCCCCCAGGCAGGGAGAAATCGCAAAGGATACTTCTCATAAACCCGCCAGGATTGTCCCTTTCCCGCCACCCCGGGATTGTTTCCAAGGGGTCCATGGAGCTGCTCAGTGTCGGGCACCAGCAACGCAGCGTTTACAGCCATCTCTCCCCAAAGACGGCGCTGCTAAGGTTATTTTTGCACGAGCTCCTTCCCTGTGAGCACGAGCGTGGTGTCTGGGACTCCTCACAGAGCGTTCCGATCTGCCGAGTGGGCTGGTGTAAGGATTACGGGTGGGATTCATCCCGCACCGCGCCACAGCCTGGAGGAAGATGCGCCAAGAGGCCAGGAGACACTGCTGCCCAGGGGACAGGAGCTGTATGCTTCCGTCCCGATCCTGCCCCTTCCGGCGGGACGTGGGAGTGCGTCCCCCTTTCTGAGCCTGTGTTGTCACTGCTGAGTGACGAGCAAGTGCCCCTCACACAGCCCCGGGTAGCCTTTGGCCCACAGGAGTTGCTCTGGAAAGCCTATAAAAACGCTTCCCGGTCATTTTACGTACGCACTGTAGCGTGAGCGACCGTAACTTACCCTCCTTATTAGAAAGGGAAGAGCTTTTAAAAATCATCCACAGGCATCAGCTTTTCCTTCCTAGAGCCCCTCCCTTCCTTTCCCTTTCTTCCCATTGTTACCTCCCAGACAAGCTGGCACCGGCAAGGGCACACGGCAGCGTCACCCTGGCCGCCTCCCTCCTCTCCTTCGGGAGTCGTGAATGAGATATGGAACTGGTGCCACATGCCAGGGATGGCTCCTGTCTGCCCGATCCCCGGGATCCAGGCAGGCCTCGTCCGGCCTCTGAGCAGCTCAGAAAAGGCCGGGGTCAGGCGAGAGCCAGGCCAGAGGATGAGCCGGATCCTCAGTGCCTCGAAGAGGGGCTTGGGGTTTGCAGGTCATCTGTCTGCAGACGACACAGTTGCCCCAACTCCACTGGGCCCGGCATCAAGAGCAGGGAGCTGGTGGTCTGATGCAGACCCGAGGACATGCGCTGTGCCGTGGGCAAGCCCAGAGGCAGGGCCCCCAGGATGTGGGGGCCACCCCAGGAGGCGGAGAATGGGAAGTGGAGGGAGTCAGGTATCCCGCTCATGCAATATGGATGGAGTAATGGAATACCACACGGCACCCCCTGCCAATCCTGCTCCTGGTCGCTCCCGGCACCGGGGACTACAGGGTCAGCTTCAGGGACATCACCGAAGGGCAGTGAGGACCCCTGCCCCCTTCTTTCAGCCCCCTGACTGCAAGGCCCTTCACCTGGGGCACAAGGCCACACCGAGCCAGAAGAAGAGGTAGGAACTATGGGTCGGCCATACCTTCCTGCGACTGGGGGAGAAGGGAATCAACATGGAAAGGGGACGCAAGAGGGCCAAGGCCGGGCCCGGGGTTAACCGGGAAGGGCCCCTTCCCTTCTAAAGACAAACCCCCCCGGGGGGGGGGGGGGGGGCGGGACACAAAGCAGGCTTGGAGCACGGGGCCACCCCAGAGCCAGCATCTCCCATCTGCTTGTGGCCTCGGGCCTCTGAGTCTCTTCTGATCCCTCCCTCCCTCCTCTGTTCTGACGCTGTCTTTCTGGTGCTTTCTTTGCAGCCAGCTATGCCGGGTGCAGGGACAGGGAGGGTGAACATGGGGACAGCGGCAGAGCACCCGGCTGGGGGCAGGCAGGACCCAGGGCATTGGGGTCAGGCTGATAAGTGCAAGACCCTGGGCCTCCACTTAGTCTCTTCCCAGCTCCAGGCTCCCTTCCCCGTTTGCTGGGGCCCCATCTCAGCCGGATCTGCAGGGATCGGAAGGGGTGGGGCTTCCCTAATTCCCTGCATGGCTCTGAGCTGGGAAGTTAGCCCCCTCCCCCATACATCTCAAGACAGGAGCTGAGGGGCTGGGGTCCCCAGCTCCCTTTCTCTTATGTGTTCCCCCGTGTTCGGCTTCTCTGTGTGTGTGTGTTTTCTTCCATGGTCCATCTCCCTCCACCTCGTCCTGGCGGCCCCCTCACAGAGCAGGGAGGAGCGTGTTCTCTGCCATGAAGCTCGGCAAGACCCGGCCCCACAAGGAGGAGTCCCAAAGACCAGGTACTCCACATGACCCCGCCCACTACACCCCGCCCCCTGTGGGGGCACCTCTCCCCCACGTGACCACCATCGCACCTTTCCCTGGGCAGAGCCCAAGCAGGCCCTCCTAGGATTGGGCAGCCAGAGCCATCTGGGCGGGGCCTGGCTTCCCATTGGCTGGCTGAGAAGTCAGGCCCCACCCAGAGGGCCTTGGCCTTCTGGGAAGGGGCGCCCCTGGCGCCGCTTAGGGTGGAGCCTTCTTGAGGGGGCTTCTCCTGCCCACATTGCTCCGCGTTCTGCTTTCTTCACGCCAAAGCCCAGAGATCTTTCATTAGAGCAGGGAACAAAAAATGAAGCACTTTCCCCAATTCTCTATTTCTGGAGAAAAGCCTGGGTGCCCCGCTGTCCATTTTCCCCAAGCTCTCAGGGACGGCCCTGGAGGCCCCCAGGCCTTGGCCTTGGCCCCTCGCAGGGCAGGGGGCGAGGGAGCGAGCGGGAAGCCGCGCCCCTGCGGCCTCGCCTGCCCTCCACGCCTTCCCAGCGCCCTCCTCCCAGACACCTCTGCACCTGGCTCTGCTGTCTCCCACGTGCCCTTGGACTGAGGGGGACGGCTGCTGGCCGAGGCCCCTGCTAGGGCAGGCGTAGGTCCCAAGTGCCCTCAGCCGTTTTTTGTTTTGTTTTTTATTTGACAGAGTTATAGACAGTGAGAGAGACAGAGAGAAAGGTCTTCCTTCCTTTGGTTCACCCCTCAAATGGCCACCACGGGGGGCGCTGCGCCAGTCCGAAGCCAGGAGCCAGGTGCTTCCTCCTGGTCTCCATGTGGGTGCAGGGCCCTAGCACTTGGGCCATCCTCCACTGCACTCCCGGGCCACAGCAACCAGGACAGAATCCGGCGCCCATATGGGATGCCGGTGCCGCAGGCGGAGGATTAACCGAATGAGCCACGGCGCCGGCCCCGCTCAGCCGTTTTACATGCGTCAGCTCTTGCCAAGCCTCGGTTTTGCTGTCTGATACGCAGAAACAGCTGCGTCAGCCGCTCATGGCTGTCGGGACTCGCGATGGGCGTGTGAGGTGACCGACATGGTGCCTTGGGCATAGTGGCCCCTTGCAGATGGTAGCTCTTGGTCGCAGAGGGAGCAGGCACAGGCTCTGTACGCCCTACCTCCTTCCACAGAGTGCATCAGGGACATCTTAACATAAGGCGTGCACAGCAGGAGTTAGATTCAGCTATGATAACCGGCAATGGCATCAGTTAGGTAGGAAACACTGGCGATGCACAGACCATCGCGTTCTAAGGAGATGCTACCAGCTAAACCTTGCATTGGACACTCTGCTTTCTGGACACCCAAGTGCAGGGGGAACCCAGTCACCAGCCCACCCTCAGACCCCTCAGCCAGCCCTTGTCCATCTGCAGATGAGCCAGCGGTGCTGGAGATGGAGGACATGGACCACCTGGCCCTCCGGCTGGGGGACGGGCTGGATCCCGACTCCGTGTCCCTCGCCTCTGTTACAGCTGTCACCACCAATGTCTCCAACAAGCGGTGAGTGGTCAGGAGCGCCCTGGCTGCCTCCCACCTATGGGACAGGACCAGCTTGCAGGGTGTAAAAATGTGGGTGGGGCCCACGGACAGCTTCTCCTAAGCCTGCCCCTCTCTTCCTTCCCAGGGATGTCTTTGTCGCCTGGCTCCCTGCGAAGGCGGAGTGAGGCGGCTGCAGGCCTGCTCCCAGGTCGCCGGCCACCCCTCTGTCTCCCTGCTCCTGTAGTCCGGCCTCTCTGTGGGGCTCTGAGAATGGCCAGTTCCACTGTGCCTGGTTTCCTTGTGTTTGGAAACCATGGCCGCATCCCTCTGCCCACCCCGAGGCAGTCCGTCCCGCTATGCTCACCTGACAGCACGTTCTCCTCCACAGGTCTAAGCCGGACATTAAGATGGAGCCAAGTGCGGGGCGGCCCATGGACTACCAGGTAGGAGGGCTCATGCTGTACACACTGCGCTGGCCGGGGTGTGGGGGACTCCCGCCAGATGTGTGCCTTGGACACTGTGGAGGCGTGGATCTAGGGGTCATAGAGAGCTACAAGTTGAATATAAAGTCCCAAAGTAAGCTTGTCACTGACGGGCATTCCTAGAGGCATCGTAAGGAAATGCAGACCCCCAGAGGGGCTTCACACTCTGCTGTGCCAGGATGTTGTGTCTGGCACTGGACCGCATAGAGAAAGAGACCTGGAGAAATCACAGAGACCAAGGAAACCACATGCAAAAAAAAAAAAAAAAAATCCACAGTTAAAATAAGAGCCTGAAGAAGACTTTGTTTTTGAAGTGTGGTTTTGCATTCATTTTAATGCCAGAGTCATTTCCGTCCTGGTTATCACTGGAGGCTCAGACCCTGGGTGATTTTTTTCTCCTCTTTGCTTCTCTGTCTTCCCTGAGATCCATTTTTAACTCTTCCGTTTGTGTGTTTCTGAAATGAGATTAAAAGGCTGAGAGGGAGGGGGTTGCAGCTGTAAGGCTGTGAACATGGCCACCCTGCAAGTAGGACAGGGGATGAGCATGGCTGCTGGCTTACGGGACAGGGTCACCCTGGCCTCAGCTTTGCAGGGCCAGGCTCTCAATCTGGACTCCTCCCAGAGTGACCAGAGGCTGGGGGATGGAGTTGCACTACCACAACTCATAACAGACTGACGTACAAGCTCAGAGCACCTAGTACTAAGCTATAGACTGGAAGCAGGGAAAGAAGAGGCGTCTCTCAGGAAGGATGCTGGGACACCCCACCCCCACATACCCCCCAGTGCCCCAGACCCTGCCCTGGGGGAGCCCCTCTCCTGGGATGGAGCTTTACCTCTGATGCCCCCTCCCAGGCCCCAGGCCCCTCATCATTCACTCAGGTAATGTGATGAAGAGCTAGGGGACACCTTTTTTGTGTCAGAGGCACAGCAGGTCGTGTTTCCCGTCTCCCTCAACCCTTGCTCGAATTTGTGTTCAGGGACTCAGCAACTGTCTTCCAGAACTTAGCAGATAGCCTCGGGCAGGGCGCGTGGTTTGGGCCAGCCCAAGCCGCTGGGCTCTCGGAGGTTTGGGAAGTGCACGGCTCCTGAGTCCAGGGCGCTGGACCCAGGGCTTTGTTTCTTCGTGTGCTGAGGACAGGAAAATTCCAGAGAACGAAGACCCCAACTCAGGCAGGTCCCCGGCCTGCCAGGCCAGGCCAGGACGGAGACAGGGTCCTCATTTACAATGGAACTTATTTTCAGGAGGTTACTCAATGCCAGCCACTGTGCCAAGAGCTATAAGTACCTTTTTTTTTTTTTTTTTGCCTTTTTTTTTTAAAGATGTATTTTATTTATCTGAAAGGTAGAGTTAGAGAAAGAGGTCTTCCCTCTGCTGGTTCATTCCTCAAATGGCCGCTGAAACCAGGAGCCTGGAGCTTCATCTGGGTCTCCCACATGGGTGCAGGGGCCTTGAGCTGTCTCTGTTGCTTTCTCAGGCTCATTAGCAGAGAACTGGACGGGAAGTGGAGTGGCTGGGGTATGAACCGGCGCCCACGTGAGATGCGAGCACTGCAGGCCAGGCTTTCCCCACTCCGCCTCCGTGCATCTTTGCATTCAAGCTGCTGTCAGGTGACAGCCACCCGTGTACAGGTGTCCTGGTGTTGTATCTATAAGGAGAGGCCGGCCCAGGAGGCTAAGGAGCTTCCCCAGGTCACGAAGTCGAGGCTGGAGCCAGTTCACACCCCAGGGTGTCTGTCCGTGGCTGTCAGAGCCTGACTTCTCTATAACCAGGCCTTCTGGGCCCCGGTTCATCGAACTTCTTGTCCCTTCCCACTTGTTTCCAAAAGCTTGTCAAGCTGCTCCCTGCCAGAGACTAATCACCTGGCCCGCCAGCCACTTTTCCTGCCCAAGAGGATTTAAACCTGAGCCCAACAGAACAGTGGTCACATTTTCCCCAGAGCATAGCATTTCCTCCCACTTCCTCCACGACTCAGCCACAAGCCTCGGCACGCTTTGGGAGAGAGCTATGAGGATGCAAATGTGAAACCACTTGTGCTTTCAGTAAATAAAGGGTATAAAGCGATAAAAGCAGAGGGACTTCCCTCTCTTGGGGAACCTGGCTTTGATGAGTTAGAAATGCCTGGGACGCAGCTGGAGAGAGGAGAGAGGGGCATAGCGGAACTCAGATCCAGGAGGGCCTGGAAGGCTGGGCACCATCCTGAAGCTTGGCTCATACCAGAAGTATGGGGGGGCGGGGAGATCCAGGTGGACCCAAGCCCAGGCTGTTTCTCTTTAGCAGGGACGTGGCATGGAAAGCCCGGCTGGGGCCTGGCAGCTCAGAGGTGACCAGCCAGAGCCCTCGGCAGGGGCGTTCCTGGTGGGTCTCCTTCCTACCTCTCTTCCTGGCACCCAGACTTCACCGCCCGCAGCCCCACGTCCCCCCTGGGCTCCTGCCCTGGCGGCACCCTCCACCCCATCATCTCCAGCCCCTGGAGCGGGGCGAGGATGAAGAATGGGGGGGGGGGGGGACGCTGCCTCGGGGGCCCTATCTCCAGCCCCTGCTCGTGCTCAAAGCCAGATCAGATTCCTCGGCACCATTACTCCTGGGGTGTAGGTTTCCCACTCCTTGTCTCCCGTGCTGGCCTCCCTGAAACCGCTTGGGTGGAGTGGTCTGTAGCCAGAAGAGGCAGCTGGTCAGCTGGCGCCTGTCGGCTCCAATGGCCTCCTCATCTTCCACCCTGTGCAGGTGGTGGCAGAGGACAGCTGGGCCCCTCCCGCGGGATCCTGAACAATGACCGACTGCTGCTGTATTGCATTTCCCCTTCCAGAGCGCCAGGCAGTGGTGGGACGCAGCAGGGATGGCGCCCCCTGCCCCCACACCATGCCCAGGGTGGCACTTCTCACACACGCTCAGGGGGCCCTTCAGGGCCTCCCCTAGACCAGCAGAGAGCACCCCGGGAATCTCTCTCCCCATCTGGGCACCTTTCAAGCCTCTGCCATCCACCATCCCCTCCCGCCTTTAGTGTCAGGGCATCCAACCCCTATCATCATTTTGGGCTCCTTTGCAGGGAGGAAGTGGAAACTTAGGAATCTGGCGGAAAGGGAGGGAGCAGCGAGGCCGTCACACTGGCCAGGCCTCCAGAGGGTTGGTACCCGGGACCGCCAGGGCTGTGTCTGTCTCATTCCCAGTCCAGGGGTATTGAAGTCTTTCCCGCTGGGGAGGGGCATTAGCTGGGGGAAAATAGAATGGAATTTCCTAAAACCAAAGATTCATGGAAGTTAGAACTCTGTGCACGGCCTGCAAGAATGTTCTGGAAGCACTTCCAGGATCTGTCTGCTGTCTTCCCAGTGAGCATCTCAGAGCTGAGTTCATCAGGCCTAGCTCCTCCTCCACTCCTAGAAGAAATGGTGGTTACTGAACTCTGGGGTCTCGGTTCTAGGCTTTCCCCTCAGTCTCGCCAGCACTGCGGCTCCAAGTAGAAACGTTGGCCCTCGCAGTCTGAGTTGCTTCGACGTGTCCATACTCCGGTTCCGTGTTCTGACAGTGTTCTCACTGGCACGGGAGTTTCTAGCTGCTTCACTGATGCCTTTGATGTGTGGCTTTTTTTTTAGCATCAGAATGTTTCCAAGACTTTCATGAACACGGTGGAAGACCGTTGTAGTGGTTATTTTATTATTAAAAGGGCACATCATTCTCTTGAGTAAAATCATATTTGGAAGTGGCACAAAAGCCCAGCAGCTGGGGGCGAGACGTTCGAAGGGCAGCCCCCCCAGTGTCATCAGGAGAGGGCCCTGTGGGAAATGAGTGTCGAGTAAAACCATCCAGAGCCTCGTGCCCGCGCGTCCCTGAGAGAGCAGCCACGTGACCGAAGGCAGACTCCATCGGGGAAGGCTTGTCCCCAGTCGCCCGCATTTACAGAGCTTTCTACTGCTTACGGGGCATTAGCCCATTCAGCCCTCGCACTTCGTGATGGGGAGCTGGTGCCAGTGTCTCAGGTCTGGGGCTCAGTGCCAGGCCAACGTCCCTGAGACCAAGCCTCTTCTATTTCACCGTGAGCAGACGTCCAAATCCAAAGTGAGATTGTGGGAAAAGCGTGGTTACACCAAAAATTACACATCTCTCCAGATAGATCAATTAGAGATAGATAAGAGAGATTAGAGAGACACATAGAGATAGACATAGGTACGGGCTAAATTAGAGATAGATGAATGGATAGACAGGCTGACTGACGCCGGCAATCTGTTTGCTAGCCATCTATAAGCCGGAAACCATTTACAGTGAGCTCCACAAAGAGAAGGAGTTTGCTTCAGTCTCCCTGTGCCTGGCCCCAGTAGGAGCTTAATAAATACTTGTTGAATGAATGCACAGCTGAGAAGGGTGACAAGTGGGATCCCAGGGAGCTGGAGCCACTCACAGGACATGCTAGAATGCACACAGCCGTCACCAGGCTGGAAAAGGTGGCTCAGGTCACCTGCCAAAGCCTCACAAAGAAATTCAAAGGAGGAGAGGGGGCAGGAATGAGGAAGGGGGGCCAGGTTTCAGAAACACAAAGAGCTATCAGAAGCCTGCAGGCTTCAAGACTTCAAATGAGGAATATTGGAGGAGGAAATTAACTGCGCGTCACTGGAGACTGAGAGCTTCATTGCTCAGTTCGTGAAGCCTGAGACGTGGGCCTGGCAGCGCCACAGATGCAGGGAGAGGCAAGTGCACGTGGCATCACCTAGGGGCTTTCAAAAATGCCAGGTACCACCCCCCACCCCCAGTGCTGAACTGGCTGGGTCTGGAGCCTGAGCACCCTCCCCTCCAACTCTAGCCAGCACCAGCTCGGGAGGTGTCCAGCCTAGACACAGAGGCTTTGGAAAAGGAAGATGAGCTCTGGATCAAGCAGCAAATTCGCAGTAGTGGTCAGCATGGAGCCCAGGGGTAGGGCTCCCAGCCTAGTGCCGTCAGCCCTGCTGCACGGCCCCAGGCTCCCAGGTCCACCCAGCTGTCCATCTGGCCGCCCCTTCTCCCACCCACAGGTCAGCATCACGGTGATCGAGGCTCGGCAGCTGGTGGGCTTGAACATGGACCCCGTGGTGTGCGTGGAGGTGGGCGATGACAAGAAGTACACATCCATGAAGGAGTCCACAAACTGCCCCTACTACAATGAGGTCGGTGGTCCCAGGGCCCTCGCAGGGGAAAGGGGGCTCTCCAGATGTGGCAGGCGCTGGGCCTCAGCCCCACTGAGGCCAGGAGGAGCGGCCAGGAGTCGAAGGGCTACCAGTGGGGGCGACTTGGACCCGTCTTGCTACAGCCCCTGGCACACTGCATGAGCCGCCACATCCTCTGATGCCCCCGTCTGGATCCCAGATTGACCTGGGCTGGCCAGCGGCCACCTGCTGAGCTGACACAGCACCTCACACCCCCACGCTGCCCCCAGCAGTGCCAGGCAGAGCCTGGGGCAGTGCAGCTTGCCCCAAGGCACTACCAGTGGTGGCACTGGCAGCATCCATGAGCACTTCCCTGTGCCAGGCCCTCACCTGAGGCCTTAGGCACGGGGTCTCTGCCAGCCCTGTGTCAGAGGTCATCACGGTTACTCTCACTACACACAGGGGCACTGAGGCTCCTGGAGGAGGCCTCGCCCAACGCTGAAGCGCCTGAGTCAGGTTCTGATGCTCACGCCCCTGCTCAGCTGTCTCCACAGGGCTTCCCTCCTAAGCACTGGCCTTGACTTTGGGATGTAGGGGAGAAAGTGATTGGCTCCAGGATCCTTTCTAGCCATTCGAGGCCATGCCGAGGGTGCTAGACTCACAGACCCTCTAGTTCAGTCTCCCCACCTTACAGAGGGGAAGACTGAGGCCTCAATACGGGAGGGGCTTCCCGCAGCCTCGGAGGGTATCATTAAGGGAGCAGGGCCCACGCCGTCCAGCCTCCCCCACAGTGCTCTGGCTTGCCACCTCGGATGCAGTGTCCTGACCCCTGGGCTCCAGGCAGGAGGCTCTGGTGAGGGTACCTGTGTGCCTGGAAGTCCCTGGCCTGAGGGCTCTGGGCAGCCCCTTCTTGGAGGGGACACCAGTTTGTTTCTCCCGGTGGCTACAGGCGCGAGGGGTACCAGGCTGGCCCAGGTGAGACTTCAGCGTCCTATGTCCCAAGGCAGGCGGGGCCAGCTGGGGGAGCCTCCAGCCCTGCACTTGCAGGAGGAAAACCTGGACACACCTCTGTCCTGCCCAGACCTGGCTGAATTGTCTCCCCTGTGGCCACAGAGGGCCCTCGGAGTGGGATGTCACCGCCGGGGACCTTTCCCAGGTGGAGTCAGCACACCGGGCCACCTGCTCTGACCTCACCTTGGGACTGATCCCTGACTGGAGAGCCCCTGGGCTAGGCGAGGCTCTGCACTCCCAAGCAGAGAGGGAGGTGGCCCTGCTACCTGCCCCGTTACCTGATAGCGGTGCAGCCCGCTGCGGCTGGCTCTAGGGTTCCCCAGGCTTCCTTCAAGTCGCTTCCTCCCGCTGAGGTGCTCCCAGCTCCGTGCTTCCCCACCCAGCTCCTCCTCACCCTGCAGCGCCAGCTCCGACGTCCTGGCCACTGAGTGGCTTTCCCTGCTCTCCCTGGGGCAGTGCTGTCCTCGACTTGCCCCTGTCCCCGTGGTGGGCTGGAGACCCCTGCTCTCCTGCACTGCCGTGCCCAGCTCAGAGCCCTACACAGGCATGAGTTGGAGGGTTCAGTACCACTTGGCCGAGTGGACGTTCACCCAGGTGAAGCAACCTGTCCTCACTAAGCACCAGGATCACAGCACGGGGGCAGGCTGGGGGCCACGGAGAGGGTGGAGACACAGCCTCTGCCCTCACGGGTCACACCCCCCACCCCCTGGCTCCAGCCTCTGCACCTGTTCATTCTGCACCGTCTTATTGCTCCTGACGGCAGTTTTGTCCTTTTTCATCAACCCTAGTAGCTCTGATTCTGCTTCCGTTGGTCTCCTCTGATCCGGGGTTTCTCAGACCCAGCACTGAGGCTGCTGTGGACAGGAGAATTCTCTAGACGTGGGAAGCTGGTGGGCAGCATCCTTGGCTCCTTCCCTCTGGAGGACAATAGCAAACTCATCTGTCCCCAGCTGTAGCTGCCAAAAATGTTTCCAAACATGGCCTGCTGTCCCTGTGGGGGTGAGAATCATCCCCAGTTGAGACCCCACCCTAAACTGCCTTGCTGGGAGACTTCAGCTGCTTCTGGCTGATTCTCCGAGCTGCGGGAATCTTCCCTCCCTCGGCAGGAACAATCGGCAGGAAGGCAGGACTAGCAGATTCCTGTGCTGTCATAAAAGGCAACGATGCCTTGGGGCTACCCTGAGGCACCTGGTCTGGCTGCAGCCTGCCCGCAGGGGAGACCCCTGCTCTGCGCAGGCGTCTGGATGGGCATCTGGGAGCCCTGTCTTCCCTCCTGCCCTTTGCCGCGGATCCTTCTCCGTCTGCATCCTGAAGAACCCGACGTTGCACCATCCCCCAACAGCCCGACTCTCTCTTTGCTTCCCGCCCCTCCTCTGGTGCCAAGGGGTCCTATTCCAGCACAGCCTGCCTAAACACAACCAGGAAAACCCACAGATGCCCACGACAGGGGCTAGACGTCTGGCTAGGGATCTCTCCTCCCTCACGCCTCTCTGGGGACTACCCCCTCTCCTGGCACAGTCATACCTGTGAGTTGTCACCTCCCACCCTCTGTCACATCTCAGTCTCTGCAGAAGCTTCTGCCCCACGGTGTCACTGAAGCTGGCTCCTCGGGGTATCAGGGCCTGCTGCTCCGAGCACAACACCCTCTGCTGTCCCCTCTCCCCTCACTGCTGACTCCTGTCCTCTTGCCTGTCCCTCCCCTTGGGGACCTCCCATGCCGTTCTTGGCTTTCCTTCTCCTGCCTCTTCTCCCCAACTCCGTACTTTGCATCACTTCCTCCGCCCACCACGGAAAAGCCCTGTCTGGGCTGCTTCCCGCCTTCTCTCTCCTGGGGAGCCTCCCCCACCCCAAGGCTTCAGTGACCCACCCCTAGCCTCCCCCCCGCACTGAGAGCTGCAGACCCAACCCTGGCCAGCAGCCCCTGCACCTGCCACCCAGGCCTGCAATGGTCACCCTTTGCTCTGTGCTCGTCCCTGCCCTGGGCTGAATGCTTGGCTGGGCTCATTGTTTCCACCTCATAGCCTCCTGTGTGAACCGTGTCCCCCGGTTCAGTGGGGCAGCCCAGGATCATTATATACATAGCACAGAGGGGTAAACTGAGCCTTGGGGAAGGAGGTGAGCGACCCACTAGGGACTGCACAGTGAGGCTGGCTCTGAAGCCAAGGGTGAGCGTCCCGCGGCCCAGGGCCTGTTCTCTGTGGACATTGAACCCGTCAATCTCCCTGCCACATGCCCACCAGACAGTGGGCCCTCTGCTCACTTCTCATACCCTTGTACCCAGGGCCTGCAACACCCAGGTCTTGGGCAAAGAACTTGCCAGTTACAGCCGGTGAAGTGTCTTCATTCGCCACACCACGGTTCATCCATCCTAACACCTGCCCCGTCCGTTCCTCTGTTCCTCTTATGCATCTCTGAGGCTGGGATGTTACGACACATCTTCTAGGCAGTGGCATGGTTTTGTGGCAGTGTCTGTGGCCTAGCAAACCACAGCTCAGCTTGCAGTACGCAGCATTTTGGAGCCCGTGGCATACGCTACTGTTTCTCATCTGGGCCTCATAAAGGGATTCTGCCATCGTCCCCATTTTACAGCTCAGAAGACAGAGGCTCAGAGAATGAGTTGCTGATGACCATGCAGCTGGACAGGAGCAGAACTGGGACTAGAACCCAAGTCTCCCTGGCTGCCTGGCCCTGGCCCTTCTGAGCACAGCCTGTGGGTGTAGACTTTCTACCTACTGCTGCCACATCGCTCTGCTCCCACAAAGGCCAGCACCGGCCCTGTCCTCCAGACCCCAGATGGGCTCCGCCTCCTTCGAAGGGTCAGTTAGAACCAATGCATTGCCTGTAACCTATGCATCCGACCTTCAGGGCTCAGGAAGAAAAGGCAGGGTACAGACAGGTGCTGGCCTGGGCTCCAGCTGCTACCCGCTGGTGACAACAGCCCGGTTCCTTCCCCTCCCCAGTACTTCGTCTTTGACTTCCACGTCTCTCCTGACGTCATGTTCGACAAGATCATCAGGATCTCGGTGAGTGGGGAGCAGCCCCAGCCAGCCGGGCCGCTCACTAAAGCAGCACCCTCATGCAATTTGTGAGGTTCCCCCTCTGGCTGGACCCATCATAGACAGCCCTGTGCCCGGACAGACAGCTGGGCAAGGGGTCCACCAGGCTGGATTCTGGGGTATGTGAGCCAGCTATCTCTGCAGAATGTACAGCTACCCATGGCAGCTAGCACAAAGCTGGTGTCTGCAGGAAGGGCTCATGCTGAGCCCAGCAAGCGACCTCTGTCCCGCCCACCCAACACCCTCCTGGGTCACCACAAAGCTCGGGTCCCCAGAAAGACTGGGGTGGTGCAACCCCCAGCGGGTCTGACTGCAGATCCTTCCGGAAGGTGATTCACTCCAAGAACCTGCTACGCAGTGGCACCCTGGTGGGCTCCTTCAAAATGGACGTGGGGACCGTGTACTCCCAGCCTGGTGAGTCGCCGTGCGCGGGCTGGGCAGCCACAGCCTGGAGAGCTGCTGCCAGTCTGGGGGGTGCCCCTCCTAGTCACAGCCACCCCGCCCTGCTCACCTGCGGCTGGAGAGCCCCCCAGGGCGGGGTGCCGGGTGCAGTGCCCGCTTCTCGCCACTGCAGAACACCAGTTCCACCACAAGTGGGCCGTCCTCTCGGACCCTGACGACATCTCCGCTGGGCTGAAGGGCTACGTGAAGTGTGACGTCGCCGTGGTGGGCAAGGGAGACAACATCAAGACGCCCCACAAGGCCAACGAGACAGACGAGGATGACATTGAGGGGTGAGGCCCATCTCAGCCCAGCCCCTGCACACCTGGGCCCAGCGCAAGCTCCCGGGGCGGACTTGGCCCAGACCCAGGGCCACCCACTCTTCTTGCCCACACAGCCCATTTTTCCTGGAGGGACTAGGGCAGGGTCAGGCCAGGGCCAGTGCCAAGTGGTTAAGGAGTGACAATCATCCAGACCTCTGACCGTGAGAAATCTGGCAGGAAGAGCGGGTGCTGGCAGACCAGAGTCCTGAGCCTGTGGGATCCCAAAGACACCAACAGGATGCGCCCAGGACAGCAAAGAGATTTCATTCTGTGTGCCAGTTACAGGCAGCTGACGGCAGCCTTTGGAAATATTCTGGGACCTTCATTAGGCTTAGTGGGACAGGTGCTGAGATCCAGTGAGTCGCATCCTCCGTGGCCAGGGGAAGGAACAGTTTCTTGTGGGGTTTCCACCTGGGGGGCAAGGGCCGTGCACAAGACTGGGAGAAGTTGATGGTGATACTGAGATTGGTAACCTACACTACAGCTCTCCAAACACTGCAACCTATCTGAGCCTTGTCGTATTGCTGGGAGGTGGGTATCATTATTGCCATGGTAACAGGGAGGAAACTGAAGCCCATGGAGATGGGGAGGTTCACCCAGGATCCCATGAGTGAGCAGGTGTCTCTCCTTCACCTGGGGCCTCTCAGCCGTCGCTCAGAGGCTGTGCCAGGCCCCAGGGGCGTGGTGATGCTAGACAGGAGCTGGGGGCCTGGACCTGGTTCCTGTGTCAGCAGGAACTTGCTGCTGCCGGAGGGGGTGCCCCCGGAACGCCAGTGGGCCCGGTTCTACGTGAAAATTTACCGCGCAGAGGGGCTGCCCCGAATGAACACCAGCCTCATGGCCAACGTCAAGAAGGCGTTCATCGGCGAAAACAAGGACCTCGTAGACCCCTACGTGCAGGTCTTCTTTGCTGGCCAGAAGGTACTGGGTGACGGGCACCAGGGGCACAGGTGATGGGCAGGGGTCCGGGGACAGGCCTGAGGCAAAATCAGAGACCTCCAGTGGGTGGGGCTGGGCGGGGAAGGCCAGGCTGGGACTCCGGTCCCCATGGGCCTGGCTTACAGACTCCTCTCCACCAAGGCGTCCTCGGACCAAGAGCTGGGGGGGCAGTGGGAGAGGGGGGAGAGCCAGGGGCTCAGGGTGGGGAGAGAGTGGAAGCGACAAGTCCATGAGCATTCTGAATGCACACACATGTGTGCACACATGCACACGTCCCAGCCCTCGACCCCTCCCACCAGGGCAAGACCTCCGTGCAGAAGAGCAGCTACGAGCCCCTGTGGAACGAGCAGGTGGTCTTCACAGACCTGTTCCCCCCACTCTGCAAACGCATGAAGGTGCAGATCCGAGACTCGGACAAGGTCAACGACGTGGCCATCGGCACCCACTTCATCGACCTGCGCAAGATCTCCAACGACGGAGACAGAGGTCAGGCACGGGGACCCCGCTCCACGCGCTCCTCCTCGGGTGTCTCCAGGCTTTTGTCGGCAGACCCTCCTCAAGGGAAAGGGGCAAGCCTGCACCTGCCTGAACCCGGCTGGCCGGATGTGAGGATTGGTAGCCAGGTGCCCTCTGTGAGATAGAAATAGCATCCACAGACAGCATTGTGATCTCCACGTGGAGGTCCACACAGCTACAGCACACATGCCGTGTAGACACTGTCATCCAAGCGCACTTCAGACACTCCGTGGAAACGCATATTAGGGGGAAACCGTCCACGAATGTCCATTTTCTGCAGTAAAATAGACTTCTCTGTCATTCCATTCCCCACAAATTGTTTGAAGTAGCCTGTAAAATGACAGTACCTACAGGCTGCTGATAGCGGCAGTGCCTGGCTGTGGACCCATGGGGACAGATCACCTCCCAGGCCCCAGGCACCAAGCACCTCTCCTGTCCTCTGTGTTCCCTGGGTGGGCACAACATGGGCAGGTGACACAAAAGGCCACATCTTGCCTGATTCCATTTGTATCCAGGACAGGCCAATTCAGAGACAGGAAGCAGATTCGTGGCTTCCAGGGCCCCGAGGAGGGGAAACCAGGCCCGGCTGCTCCTAGCGCAATGCGTGTGGGGAGCAGGGGACGGGAATGTTCTAGAACTAGATGACGGCTGCACAGCCTAGTGAATGAGCTGAAACCACTGACGTGCACTTTAAAATGGGGAATTTTATATTACGTGAAATATCTCCCCATTTTTAAACATGATGGACATTTCTTAAAAAGCATGCAGAATAAAAACATCAAGGTAGAAGTGTTCCGTGCTACACGTGAGGCCCAGCAAATCCTAAGCATGGGAGAGCGAATGCGGATGAGGAACTGGGGGGCTTTATGATGAAGCAGGGAGGGAGGGTTCTCGCAAATGGGGGATACGCGTCCCCCAGGACGTCCCCCAGGGCCGTGCTCAGGCGTCTAGGGAGAGCGGGCTCCATCCCGTAGGCGGGTTGTTGGCAGACCCCCACAGAGCGTCAGCACTGTGTGCGCACACCAGATGCCGGCTCAGCAGCCCTCTCCCCGGGAGGCCGCTGGGCGTGACGCGGGCCCTCCTCCCTGTCCTCGCCACCACAGGCTTCCTGCCCACGCTGGGCCCGGCCTGGGTGAACATGTACGGCTCCACCCGCAACTACACGCTGCTGGACGAGCACCAGGACCTGAACGAGGGCCTGGGCGAGGGCGTGTCCTTCCGGGCCCGCCTCATGCTGGGCCTGGCTGTGGAGATTCTGGACACCTCCAACCCCGAGCTCACCAGCTCCACAGAGGTGCAGGTGGAGCAGGCCACGCCCATCTCCGAGGTGATGTCCCCACTGTGGCAGCCCAGCTCTGGGGCTTTGCTTGTTGCTGCCGTGTCTCCCCGAGAGGGCTGGACCCCAGCATCAGGCCCCTCCCCCAGGAAGCAGAGACCCCTACTTCACCCCTCAGTGGGACTTGCGTCCCTGTCGACTGCCTGCCCGTGTCCTTCCCACAGGTCCCTCCCTCTGCCCCTCCCCCAGCCACAGCTGCTTCTGGGGGTGCAGAGCCAGCCCCCCATCCAGCGACAGCCTTCAGGGTGTGGACTTCCTAGGACGCCCCACCATCAGCCAGGGGACCTGAGGGAGACGCTGTGAGCTGCCGCGTCCCCTCTAAGGTTCAAGGATGGTTTGAACTACCTCCCCACAGAGCTGCACCGGGAAAATGGAGGAATTCTTTCTATTCGGAGCCTTCCTAGAGGCCTCCATGATTGACCGGAAGAATGGAGACAAGCCGATCACCTTCGAGGTGACCATAGGTGGGTGCTGGGCTCACAGCTGGGGGCCACCAGGCTTAGCGGCTGTACCCAGCCTGGCAATGGGAAACTTGGCCTCTTTTCCCTGTGTTGGCCTCACGGCACCTTTGGGGGGGGGTGGAGGGTGCACACACTTCATGGAGAAGAAGGAAAGAGGAAAGGAGGGAGGGGGCATCCCTGGGGGCTGGATAGGAGACTGTGGGGACAGCCGCCATGTCCAGAGTGGGCCTCACTTTCCCTCTTCCGGCCCCAGCCCCAAGGCAGCACTTGGACTGTATAGCATGTAGGGCCTGGCAGGGAAGGCCGCTGGGCCCTAGAATGTCCATTCTGCCTCCAGGCAACTATGGGAACGAAGTCGATGGCCTGTCACGACCCCGGCGGCCTCGGCCCCGGAAGGAGCCTGGGGACGAGGAGGAAGTGGACTTGATCCAGAACTCAAGTGACGACGAGGCCGATGACGGCGGGGACCTGGCCTGCGTCTCCTCCACTCCCCCCATGCGGCCCCAGATCACAGACAGGTGGGACCCGCCTCCCCCTCTCCTGTAGCCTGGCCCTCCACCTCCCCAGGCTCCCAGACCTCAACCTCCCATCTCCTCTGCCCAGGAACTACTTCCACCTGCCCTACCTGGAGCGCAAACCCTGCATCTACATCAAGAGCTGGTGGCCGGACCAGCGCCGCCGCCTGTACAACACCAACATCATGGACCACATTGCTGACAAGCTGGTCAGGGCCGGCCGGGAGGGGGACAGGGGCGGGGGAGCAGGCACTGCCAGGGGCCTGGCCTGCAGGGCACAGGCCCACCTGCCCAGTTCTCGCCATGGAACTGGGGCGGCTGCAGGGATGGCCTCGGCAGCACCTCTGCTCCGCCCTGGATTTGGGGTGGAGTCCTGGGGCTCCCTGGAGGCGGCTGGCCAGCCCCCCTGTGTGTAGCCTGCCCCAGGCCCTCCACTGTAGCCTTGATTGCTGCCCAGAGTGCCCGGGGCCGCAGGCAACTCAGAGATAGTCTTCCTTCAGGGACCCAAGAGCCTGCCAAGGCCAAGGTCTCCAGGTTCTGATTGCAGAGCCCAGGACACTGGCCTCGTCCCCGTGAAGCTAGGGGGTGGCCCTGTGAGGGGCCCCGAGGGAGGGGGCATCCACTGAGGCCGCAGGGGAGGGCGCGGCTCAGCGTGTGCCCACCCCGGCCGCAGGAGGAGGGCCTGAACGACGTGCAGGAGATGATCAAGACCGAGAAGCCCTTCCCGGAGCGGCGGCTGCGGGGCGTCCTGGAGGAGCTGAGCTGCGGCTGCCAGTGAGAGGGAGGGCCGCGGGGGGGGCGGGGGGGGTGGCGGGGACCCCCGCCTGGGCCGGGAAGGGGAGGAGGCTGCCACAGACTGAACCCTGGCTCCCCACACCCCCAGCCGCTTCCTCTCCCTGGCTGACAAGGACCAGGGGCATTCGTCCCGCACCAGGCTGGACCGAGAGCGCCTCAAGTCGTGCATGCGGGAGCTGGTGAGGGCGTGCGTGCGCCAGGCTGGAGGGTGGATCTGCTTGGGAAAGGGGGACTTCTGCCTCTGAGGTCACAGCCCCGGGCACCCTGGCCTGAACAGTCCCCCCACCAGCAGCTGAGCTGCCCTTTCCTGCACTGCCCCTCAGGAGAGCATGGGCCAGCAGGCGAGGAGCCTGCGGGCACAGGTGAAGCGGCACACGGTGAGGGACAAGCTGAGGTTGTGCCACAACTTCCTGCAGAAGCTGCGCTTCCTGGCAGATGAGGTGGGGGGCCTGCGGGACGGGGCCTGGGCTGCATGGCAAGGGGTGGTCAGGACCCCCAGAGGCCCCATGCGCTGATGGCCACGGGTGGGGACGGAAGACCCAGCCACCGGGACCCTTCCCACATAGGCCCCCGTCCCTCCTCACTCTGGCTGGCCCTCAGGGGCCAGTCCAGCCCAGTGAGCCCCCTGACCAGCACCCCACGCCCACCCGGCCCCAGCCCCAGCACAGCATCCCCGACGTGTTCGTGTGGATGATGAGCAACAACAAGCGCATCGCCTACGCCCGAGTGCCCTCCCAGGACCTGCTCTTCTCGCTCGTGCAGGAGGAGATGGGCAAAGACTGCGCCAAAGTCAAGACGCTCTTCCTCAAGGTGCCGGGGTGCGGGGCTGCGTGGGCGCCGCCCCCAAGTAGCACGCGCTCAGGGAAGGGCTGCAGAGGGCAGCCAGCCAGCTGTACCCCACCCATCCCCTTCTGCCCTCTGAGGTGTCTGTGAAGGGGCAGGGGGGCCCTGATCGAGGCTCCCCACCAGCCCCCGGGCCCTTCCCCACCCCCCTGGGCCCTGGCAGCCGTGAGGCTCCCCATGACCCTGTGCCCGCCCCCAGCTTCCGGGCAAGCGGGGCTTCGGCTCGGCGGGCTGGACGGTCCAGGCCAAGCTGGAGCTGTACCTGTGGCTGGGCCTCAGCAAGCAGCGCAAGGACTTCCTGTGTGGCCTGCCCTGCGGCTTCGAGGAGGTCAAGGCGGCCCAGGGCCTGGGCCTGCACTCCTTCCCGCCCATCAGCCTGGTCTACACCAGTGAGTGAGGCCTCGCTCCCGGCCCTCACCCTGGGAGGGGCCAGAGGGGTTGCCCGGTCTGCAGCCTCAGCCCGCTCCCTGCCCGCACACAGAGAAGCAGGCCTTCCAGCTCCGAGCCCACATGTACCAGGCCCGCAGTCTCTTTGCTGCCGACAGCAGCGGGCTCTCCGACCCCTTCGCCCGCGTGTTCTTCATCAACCAGAGTCAGTGCACGGAGGTGAGGGTGTGGGCCACTGGGGAGGCCTGGGGGTCTGCAGGGTCCTCAAAGAGCCACCCTGCAGGTGGCTACAAGCCCCAGTCTCCCTGGAGCAGGCTGCGGCTTTGATGGTGGCCATGCTCACGGGGCAGGGAACCTGCTGGAAGGGGCTAGAGCAGACCTCGCCTTAGCCTTGACTTTGAGGTTTCCGGAGGAGGCTGGGAACCTGGCCCCTGGTTCCCTGGGAGCTGCGGTGACTGGGGCAGGCTCCAGCCCCGTTTCTCCACGCCCCACACTGCAGGTGCTGAATGAGACCCTGTGCCCCACCTGGGACCAGATGCTGGTGTTTGACAACCTGGAGCTGTATGGCGAGGCTCACGAGCTGCGGGATGACCCCCCCATTATTGTCATCGAAATCTACGACCAGGACACCATGGTATGGGTGGGCCCGGGCACCAGGGGCCCCCACCAGCACCACACCTGCCCCTGGTTTCCTGCACTCCACCTGCACTGCGCAGTGCCAGCCACCTGCCCGCCCACCCCAAAGCTCCTCTGCTGGGAGTCTGGGCCGCCGACCAACCCCTCCAGTGGCTTCCTAACAACGCTGTGGGCCTCAAGGGGTCTCAGGAGCCAGGCCAGGGCATCAGCACCTCCTGGCCCGGACAGAGTACTTGGGAGATGGGCAGCAAGTTCTGCTGGCTCCAGCCTCCCCTCCACACACACACACACCCGGGCCTCATCAACTCCATCCACTCCTGCTGCAGCCTCCCAGCCTCCATGTAACAGCCTCCCAGCTCTCCATGAGGGGACCTGGAGGGGGAGTAGAGGGTCCGGTGACCCCGAGAGTTGGGAAGCCACCCCAGAGGACTCTGGATAAGAGGCAGGAGGACCTTCCATCTGGTCCTGGGTCCTGGGTCTGCCATCACTGACTTCTGGCCTTGAACACATCTTCAGTGGGCCCTGAGGCTTGGCTTTCCCATCTGTAGAATGGGGTGGTCATGCCTGCCCCTGTGTAACTTATGGGGCCAAGGTGAGGACGAGGGAGGGAGTAGGTGCAAACTTGAACAGCAAGCGCCAGAGGCCACAAGCTGTTCACCCTGTTAGGGCAAAGCCGACTTCATGGGCCGGACCTTCGCCAAACCCCTGGTGAAGATGGCGGACGAGGCGTACTGCCCACCCCGCTTCCCGCCCCAGCTAGAGTACTACCAAATCTACCGCGGGAACGCCACGGCCGGAGACCTGCTGGCTGCCTTCGAGCTGCTGCAGGTGGGACGCCACGGGGGAGGCTGTGGGGAGTGCTGGTGCCTGGGGGTCTCTCCCAGGGTTTCTCAGGGTCCTGCAGCCCTTCGGCCTGCTCTGTCTCCCCTGAGCTCATGGCAAACAATTCATGGGGAGAGACCCCTCCAGCCCCCCACCCAGTGTGTGACCTGTGACCCCTATCACCCAGATCGGGCCAGCAGGGAAGGCCGACCTGCCCCCCATCAACGGCCCGGTGGACATGGACCGGGGGCCCATCATGCCAGTGCCCGTGGGCATCCGTCCTGTGCTGAGCAAGTACCGAGTGGAGGTGGGTGAGGGCCACTGACTGCCCCGCCCTCCCCACACAGGCTTCCTGGGTCTCCCGCCCCCACTTCCTGTTCCCCTCACCTTCTCTGCACCCAGCACTGTTGGTGGACACTCAGCCCCTCATCGTTCAGATCTGGAGACTAAGGCCCAGGAGAGGAAGGGGCTCGTCCAAGGTCACCACCAGCAGCCAGCAGTGTGCCAGGGCCACCCGCGACCTCCCTGCCATGCCCTCCCTCCGCAGTGCCCAAGGCCAGCTCCCCCGGCCCCACCCTGCCCTCTGAGATCTGTGCTCTGCACCACCACCCTCTCCTCCCTGCCTGAGCCGCGCCCTCTCCCCCTCCCCACCTCCTAGGTGCTGTTCTGGGGCCTGCGGGACCTGAAGCGGGTGAACCTGGCGCAGGTGGACCGGCCGCGCGTGGACATCGAGTGTGCAGGGAAGGGGGTACAGTCGTCCCTGATCCACAACTACAAGAAGAACCCCAACTTCAGCACCCTGGTCAAGTGGTTTGAGGTGGTGCGTGCCGGCCTGGGGGTGGGGGTGGGCAGGCAGAGCTGTGTGCGACCCGTGGGGCTCCCCCGGCCCCCTCCTCTGAGGCCCGGGCTCTGTGCCCCACCCCAGGACCTGCCCGAGAACGAGCTTCTGCACCCACCCCTCAACATCCGCGTGGTGGACTGCAGGGCCTTCGGCCGCTACACCCTGGTGGGCTCCCACGCCGTCAGCTCCCTGCGCCGCTTCATCTACCGGCCCCCGGACCGCTCCGCCTCCAGCTGGAATACCACGGGTATGGCCACGGCCACGGCCACGCCAAGCCCAGGCCGCCCTCGCCAGCCAGGCAGGGCACCAACGCAGTGCCAGAGTTGGCCCCAGGGGCTGGGGGAGGGGCAGGCCCTGTTCTGGGAGCTGAAGGAGGCTGCCGGGGCGGCCCTTCCGCCGAGCAGAGAGAGCGGCAGCCCGCAGGTCTGGGCAGCAGGGCTGAGCCAGGCCTCCACCAGGCTGTCCGGCCCCACCACCCTCCGCCTTCTCTCTGGCTCGCTGACCCTCCTCAGGCCCTTCTTTCTCCCTCCATGGCCCTCCTCCCACCTCAGAAAGCTCCAGAGTCAGTTCTGGGCCCCTGCTCCCACCTGCCCCCAACCCTCACTGCTCCTCCGCTGCCTGTCCCGGGCTGCTGTGCGATGGGCCCCCGTCTCACCCTCAGGGGAGGTCGTGGTGAGCATGGAGCCCGAGGTGCCGGTCAGGAAGCTGGAGACCATGGTGAAGCTGGACGCGGTAAGACAGCGGGCCGGCGGGGGCGGCTGTGGTGCCGACGCATCATGTGAGCCAGGCCGCTGTGCCCCCAGAGGGAAGAGCGTGATCACGGCTGCGGGGTGCGATTGTCAGGGCTCACCCTCCACGCCCCTCCATGCCGATGCTGTCCTGGGTCCCACACACCTGTGCATACAGGTGTCCTGTGCATATGCCTGAGGCTATGTGTGCACAGGGACAGAGTGCACAGGAAGAATAGAGGTGCACCTGAGGCGAGGGAGTCCTTGTGAGACCTTCAGGGGAGGGCGGGGCGGGGGCTGCCTAGAGCCGTCGCCCTGGGGTCGGGGGGCTGCTCTCCACCTCCCACTCCCAACTTCGGCACTGCGGGCAGCTGGGGCGGTCCCCCACATCTGAGGCCTGAGCTCACTCAGAAATGACCTCCCCTCAACCGGAAATCCGTGGCCCCAGGGGACCAGGGTGGACAGCGTGGGCGCTGGCCACGCTGTCAGGAAAGGAGAGCCATGAGTCCTGGTCCACGGCCCTGGGTGGCGCTGCCGGAAAGGTGTGCTCCTTGGGGCTATCGGAGGCCAAGGCCCCTGCAGCCCCCGAGCCACTCTCTGGCCACCTGCTCCCTAGTTTCTGGTCACCACCAGCACAGCACAAGTGACCCTGGCCAGAGCTCCTGGTCCCACAGCCCTGGGCCCTGGCGAGGTGTTGTGGCCGTGCCTTTCCCCACCATGTAACTGCACATATCAGCTTAATCGTGACGCAGCCTGCCTGGGAGGGGGTGGGAGAGAGCGAGGCTGCAGCTGCCCCTGCAGAGCCAATACTGCCGACCCTGTGTGCGTGCTGGCGTGGGTGCCCTGGCCCCCATGCGGACTCAGTGGTGCTACAAGTGAGTACCGAGGGCAGCCAGGGCCAAGGCCACCTCCCTAGAAGGGCTGAGGGACAACGGCAGCCTGAAGAGAGCCTGGCGGAGCATGCAGGAGGTGCCCTTGTTAGCACCAGGCTGGCCTGGTGGAGGGCACTCGTGCCCGGCCCCACTCCCTAGGCCAGGCACTGCCTGCGGCCCGAAGGCCCCGCGGCTGATCTGCCCCTGCCCCTGTCTCATTGCTTCTCCTCTGCAGGCTTCTGATGCTGTCGTCAAGGTGGACGTGGTGAGTACAGGTGCCACTCAGGGGCTCTGGGGCGAGAGGGCCCTAGGCTGGCTGAGCCACCCTGGCCCGGGCCGCTTGGACTGGCACAGTTTTCTGGAGAGGCTGGGCAAGCAGCCACAGTCCGCTATCACCACTGACTCACAGTGGCAGGCCGTGACCCTCCCAGGGCCGCAGCAGTGTCCTCCCCACAGAGCCCTGAGCCTGGACGTCAGTGCCCCTAGCGTTCATGAGGGCCAAGGCTTTCCTGGAGCAGATAGTCAGGGTGGGAGGTCCCCGGGATTGTCTGGGGCCAGGATGGGGGTCCCCGGGATTTCTAGGGTCAGGATGGGCGTCCCCAGGATTTCTAGGGTCAGGACGGGGGGAGTCCCCAGGATTTCTAGGGTCAGGATGGGGGTCCCCAGGGTTGTCTAGGGTCAGGATGGGGGTCCCCGGGGTTGTCTGGGGTCAGGACGGGGGTCCCCGGGGTTGTCTGGGGTCAGGACGGGGGTCCCCGGGGTTGTCTAGGGTCAGGACGGGGGTCCCCGGGGTTGTCTAGAGTCAGGATGGGGGTCCCCGGGGTTGTCTAGGGTCAGGATGGGGGTCCCCGGGGTTGTCTGGGGTCAGGACGGGGGTCCCCGGGGTTGTCTGGGGTCAGGACGGGGGTCCCCGGGGTTGTCTAGGGTCAGGATGGGGGTCCCCGGGGTTGTCTAGGGTCAGGATGGGGGTCCCCGGGGTTGTCTAGGGTCAGGATGGGGGTCCCAGGGCTGTCTAGGGTCAGGATGGGGGTCCCTGGGGTTGTCTGGGGTCAGGATGGGGATCCCTGGGGTTGTCTGGGGTCAGGATGGGGGTCCCTGGGATTTCTAGGGTCAGGATGGGGGTCCCTGGGGCTGTCTAGGGTCAGGACGGGGGTCCCCGGGGTTGTCTAGAGTCAGGATGAGGGTCCCCAGGGTTGTCTAGGGTCAGGATGGGGGTCCCTGGGATTTCTAGGGTCAGGATGGGGTCCCCGGGGCTGTCTAGGGTCAGGATGGGGGTCCCCGGGGCTGTCTAGGGTCAGGATGGGGGTCCCCGGGGCTGTCTAGGGTCAGGATGGGGTCCCCGGGGTTGCCCGGGGCTCTGGAAAGGGTCAGGGCACAGGGAGCCAGCAGGCCTCTTCGCCCGGCCCACCCACAGGCTGAGGAAGAAAAGGACAGGAAGAAGAAGAAGAAGAAGGGCACCTCGGAGGAGCTGGAGGAGGAGGAGCCGGACGAGAGCGTGCTGGACTGGTGGTCCAAGTACTTCGCCTCCATCGACACCATGAGGGAGGTGAGGTCTTGCACGGGCTGGGGGAGGGGGCCACCCAGCCCACCCTGGGCCCCCAGCAGTCCCTTCCTGCTCCCCTGCAGCCCCAGCCCCTCCACTTCCATTCGTGTGAGCCCAGAATGGCCGTGGCCCACCTCCGGGAGGGCCCGGTGTTCCCCGGCTGGTGGCCCCACCTGCCTTCCCGGTCTGGCTGTCCCCATGTGCTCATCCACTTGTTCCCAAACATCTGGAGTCTGTGATGAGGCAGACACTGCACTAGGGCCTGTGGAACCAGAAGATGCCAAACCCACCCTGGGGAGCCCCAGATTAGCAGGCACAAGAGACATATGAACGGTTGCATACTGGGCGATATCGACAGCAGTTCAAAGCCTGGGGGAGGCAGGGAAGGCTGCATGGAGGAGGCGACCTTAGGAGAAAAGGAGAAGGAGAAGTGTGTTCAAAGACCAACAGGGCCCAACGGCCTCTTGGCAGCACTTCCAAAGCTTCCTCATTCTGTTCGGTTTACATCTTGGTCACCGTCCCTGTGGAAGGTTCTTCCCCCATCGCGTGTCTGTGGGTTCCGCCCGCTGAGCCAGATGGAAGCTTCATGAAGAACGCGTGTCCCTCCTCTTGTCCGTGCTTGCTCAGGGCGCTCCCTGAGAGGCCGAGTGGCCAGAGGGCCACATGCCTGCACACCCTCCCTCCCCCAGGGTCCTTTCCGGAACCCAGGCTGGGTGTGGCGTTTGCCGTCCGTTAGCTATGGCACAGAGTACGCAGCAGGGGTGGGGTGGACGAGACGCAGGTTCCCTTCGCTCCCAGCACATCAGGGAGGACAGGCCACAGGCCAGCTGCTGACCCAGCGGGGTCGGGTCTCCAGTGGGTGGGGTGGAGATGGCTGCCTTCGTGTCCTAACTCCAGTGCCCAGGAAGGGGTGGAGAGGAGGCAAGGCTCGTCCCCTCCCTTTCTGGCACTAAGCCCAGCCCTTGCACGCACCTCTTCCCCTTGCCCTGGCCAAGGGAGGCTGGGAAATGCAATCTTTGCAAGCTGGGTGTGTGCCCAGCAAATGTTGTAAGAACAGGAGAGTGATAACGGGCCAGCCGGTAGGGTCCTCCCCAGCATCGCCCGCCTTCACCTTGCCAGCCGGGAGCTCCAGGAGGCGGCCTGGTCTCCTTCTACTCCTGCAATTTTCATGTGCTGCCACCAGGTGGCGGTGGCGACTTGGGGGAAACTGGTGATTGCCCAATGGGTGGTGCAGACTTAGATAAAGAAAATAAGGCACGTTTTCTTACTCAATATTTTCTGCATTAAAAAATAATATCGTCATGAAGCAACATTAGCATGATATATTTAAGTGATACACGGTTTCAAGATTCACAGGCCGTGTGTACAGTAGTCGGATTGTGCACATCATCAAGTTTTCAAACCTGCGTTAATAGAGCACATGAAGAAGTTGAAATGCAGCAGGAAAGACCCTCTGCTCCCAGCAAGCCTCACTCTAGACTGGTCCAGGCTGCAGTTTGGAGTCAGCAGACCCCTCCCCAGGAAGCCCACCCTCCCATGCTCCCCTTATTTTTGGCAGCAACTTCGACAACAAGAGGCCTCGGGAGTGGACTTGGAGGAGAAGGAGGAAGCAGACAACACCGAGGGTGAGCCCTGGGCCCGGCTCCCGCCTTCCCCACCTCCCAGGGCCCTCACAGCCGCAGCAGGCGAGGCCAGGCTCTGTCGCGCAGGCCAAGACCCCATCTGCAGCGGCTGCCACGCTGACCGCTGGCCGGGCAGCACCGCAGCAGCAGGTGCAGGGTGGCCAGGCTGGAGGGGCCCCGGCGTTCAGCCCGCCCGGCCTTTTCCAGGCCTGTCCCATGGAACTGTGTTCACGGGTGTTCTGGAGCGAAGCCAGGGTCCCGGGGGCAGATCAGTGCGGGAAGTGCCGCTCTTCCAGCTTCCTGTGCTGTGGCACTTAGAGCCTTGAGCACGCACATGGCAGTGGAAGTCTCTGGAAGGAAGATACGGCATAAAATGCTTCCCCGGCGGGCACTTGCCTGCTCGCATGTCAGAGCGCCCCAGTGGAGTCCTGGCTCTCCACTTCCGGTCCAGCTTCCTGCCCTGCACACCTTGGGGGCAACAGCTGACGGCTCGAGCACCTGGGTCTGTGCCTCCCACACAGGAGACCCAGACTGAGTGCTGGGCTCCTGGCTTTGGCCTTGAGCACTTGGGAACTAAACCAGCAGATGGCAGATGTTTCTCCGTCTGTCTCTCTTTCAAATACAATGAAAATAAGTGTAAAAAAAAAAGTTAAGTTTATCTCCCCAACCTGCTTGACCACAATACCCCTTTTCCTAAATTACAGCAGCAGTGCCGGAGCCTGGTCTTCCACTTCCTGCCGTTTGGGAAATGCCTTCTTAATGACAGGGACACGGGGCGTGGCACGGGGCAGCGTGCGGACGCCTCCCGGCCCCAGCCTGCCGAGGGGCGCCCCGGGTCCACGCGCGCTCCCAGACGTGACCTGTCGCCCCTGCTTTACAGATGGCCGCACTGAGGCCCGAGAACTTAGATTAGTGAGGTGCACGAGCAGCGGAGCGGGGCCTCGAACCGGGGCCTTCCCGCTCTGCCAGCTCCCAGTGCTGACCGAGGCCGCGTCTGCCTCTGCCAGGCCTGAAGGGGCCCGTGAAGGGCAAGGACAAGGCGAGGGCTGCGAAGGAGGAGAAGAAGAAGAAGACACAGGGCCCCGGCCCCGGCCAGGGGCCCGAGACCCCTGAGAAGAGGAAACCCAAGATTGATGAGCTGAAGGTGAGGGGGTAGGCGGGGGCGGGAGGCCGCGGGCGCAGGGGCCCTGGCCCAGGCCTGACGCTGGGCTGGCCCAGGTGTACCCCAAGGAGCTGGAGTCCGAGTTCGACAATTTCGAGGACTGGCTGCACACCTTCAACCTGCTGCGGGGCAAGACCGGTGATGACGAGGACGGCTCCACCGAGGAGGAGCGCATCGTGGGCAGGTTCAAGGTCAGACCCCGGCCCCTGCTCCTGCCCTGGCAGCTCCAGAACCCCTGGGCCTCCCCAGGACCCAGCCAAGCCAGACGTCCCGTGCCCTTAACGCCTTGGAAAGCCTCCCTGCCCGTGCCAGGCGGACCTGCACCCTGAGCCTCGCGCCTCGCCGCAGGGCTCCCTGTGCGTGTACAAAGTGCCACTCCCAGAGGACGTGTCCCGGGCAGCCGGCTACGACCCCACCTACGGCATGTTCCAGGGCATCCCGAGCAACGACCCCATCAACGTGCTGGTCCGAGTCTACGTGGTGCGGGTGAGCCCCCCGCCCAGGAGGGACTGACAGCCCAGGACTGGGAGGGCCCCGGGGACGTCGCCCGGTCTGAGTGTCCGGCCTCGGGTCCCCTGCTCCTGGCCCCACCCTCACCACCACAGCCCCTGCTCAGGCAGCCTCCTCCCCACCGCAGGCCACAGACCTGCACCCGGCCGACATCAACGGCAAAGCTGACCCCTACATCGCCATCCGGCTGGGCAAGACGGACATCCGCGACAAGGAGAACTACATCTCCAAGCAGCTCAACCCCGTCTTCGGGAAGTAAGGCCTCCGGGAGGCCCCGCCTCCCCCCCCGCCCGGACCCCCAGACCACCTGCCACCCGCCCCGCCCTTCACTTGCCCCTGACCCCTGCCAGGTCCTTCGACATCGAGGCCTCCTTTCCCATGGAGTCCATGCTGACGGTGGCCGTGTACGACTGGGACCTGGTGGGCACCGACGACCTCATTGGGGAGACCAAGATCGACCTGGAGAACCGCTTCTACAGCAAGCACCGCGCCACCTGCGGCATCGCTCGCACCTACTCCACGTGCGTGCGAGGCCAGGGCGGCGGGGCGGGGGTGGGGGCGGGGGCGGGGGCAGGGAGGGGCTGTTGCGCAGAGCACGGGGCTTTGGGAAGGTGCACTAGTGTGTGGTTTGTGTCCCGGGCCCAGAACTGGCCGGAAGCAGCTGCCCCTGGGGCCGGCCCTGTGCCCACTGAGCCCCGCCACACCTGTGTGTCCCCTCCCACAGGCATGGCTACAACATCTGGAGGGACCCCCTGAAGCCCAGCCAGATCCTGGCCCGTCTCTGCAAGGAGGGCAAGGTGGACGGCCCCCACTTCGGGCCCCCCGGGAGGGTGAAGGTGGCCAACCGCGTCTTCACCGGGCCCTCGGAAATGGAGGACGAGAATGGTGAGGGGGCCTGGCACAAGGCTGCCTGGGCGAGGGGCGCCCCACACCGCCCTGGCCCGAGCTGGGCCTTGTGCACCCCTGCCCGGCACCCAGAGCCCCTGGCACCTGCCCAGTCTGTGCCCTCCCCCGCCTTATCTAGCACTCTCGCCACACCCCCATGGCATAGGAGGTCACCCCCACGGAGACCCAGCGAGTTTCAGCGACCTGCCCACGGCCAAGGAGCTGTCTGGAGACACAGGGAGGGTGTGGGCTTGGGTCCTTCCCTCTCCAGTGCCTCATGCAGCCCTCACTTCCCCAGGGGATGGGGAGTGTCTGTGCTGGGAACTTGTGCCCGCCCCCTGGGAGATTCCCCCCTCCCTGGCCTGCTCACGGCCCAGCAGGGCTCTCTGGTCGCACAAGGAGCCAAGGGCACAGACCTCAAAACCTTGGCCAAGCCTCTGCCCCTCTGTGCCTCAGTTTCCCCAATAGTAAAATGGAGGTGGGATGGACTGGGGATGGCTCAGCAGGGCTCCTTTGTGCCATTAAGTGCGGGACCGCGGCACAGGTCTCCTGCTTCTGTGCCGGCACCCACAGGTCAGAGGAAGCCCACGGACGAGCACGTGGCGCTGTCCGCCCTGCGCCACTGGGAGGACATCCCGCGCGTGGGCTGCCGCCTGGTGCCAGAGCACGTGGAGACGAGGCCGCTGCTCAACCCTGACAAGCCAGGCATCGAGCAGGTGACGCTGGCCTGGCCAGGCCTGGGTCCTCGGGCATTTGGGGGAGGGGGCTCCTGTGCCAGCTCCGCAGAGGCAGAAGCGGGGCTGGGCGTGTCCGCCACTTCCGGAAAGCCTGGAGCCTCA